CACACACACACACCACACCACACACACAACACACACACACACACACACACACACACACACCACACACACACACACCACACACACACACACACACACACACACACACACAACACACACCACACACACAACACACACCCACACACACAACACACACACACCACACCACACACACACACACACACTACACACACACACACACACACACACACACACACACACACACACACATCTGTATGATGAGATATTGGTTTAGATTTTGGATTCACCTACCTTTAATATTTTGGCTTCAATCTTTTGTCCTGCAAACATGGACTTCTCATCAAAGTGCATTGGGAAAGTTCTGGAAAACAAAGGAAGCCGTTAGTATTATAACAACGACTAATATTATAAGTAACCTGCATAGCGTGTGTCATAATGGATCCCCTGTATTTTAACTGCAAACCAAATACGGGTACAAACAAATAACCTGAACCCAGAGTTAATGTTTAATACATACAGTGGGGCAAAAAAGTATTTAGTCAGCCACCAATTGTGCAAGTTCTCCCACTTAAAAAGATGAGAGAGGCCTGTAATTTTCATCCTAGGTACACTTCAACTATGAGAGACAGAATGGGGGGAAAGAATCCAGGAAATCACATTGTAGGATTTGTAATGAATTAATTGGTAAATTCCTCGGTAAAATAAGTATTTGGTCACCTACAAACAAACAAGATTTCTGGCTCTCACAGACCTGTAACTTCTTCTTTAAGAGCCTCCTCTGTCCTCCACTTGTTAACTGTATTAATGGCACCTGTTTGAACTCGTTATCAGTATAAAAGACACCTGTCCACAACCTTAAACAGTCACACTCCAAACTCCACTATGGCCAAGACCAAAGAGCTTTCAAAGGACACCAGAAACAACATTGTAGACCTGCACCAGGCTTGGAAGACTGAATCTGCAATAGGTAAGCAGCTTGGTGTGAAGAAATCAACTGGGAGCAATTATTAGAAAATGGAAGACATACAAGACCACTGATAATCTCCCTCGATCTGGGGCTCCACGCAAGATCTCACCCCGTGGGGTCAAAATGATCACAAGAACGGTGAGCAAACATCCCAGAACCACACGGGGGGACCTAGTCAATGACCTGCAGAGAGCTGGGACCAAAGTAACAAAGGCTACCATCAGTAACACACTACGCCGCCAGGGACTCAAATCCTGCAGTGCCAGACGTGTCCCCCTGCTTAAACCAGTACATGTCCAGGCCCGTCTGAGGTTTGCTAGAGAGCATTTAGATCAGGGGTTCCCAACCCCCGGTCCGCGGACCGGTATCGGGCCGCGGAGGTGTTACTGCCGGGCCGCGAAATAGCTGTGAGTTTATCGTAATATTTGCAGAATTATAAAAATATTTTATCATAATATTTTTTTCAAAAAGTGTTTAATGTTCGCACCTATACCAGTCATATTATTTAATCCAGTAGCCTAGTTAATCTTTCACCAGATAACCGTTGAAAATGGCTTTTATGATGTTCCGAGGGATTCGGCGGCTCAGCCTGGTCCCAGCCTCTTGTGCGCACGAGAAAGTTACCGGTGCGCCAAGTAGGAAGAGGAGCGCACAGGAGACACGGCTCCCTGGCTAAATGATGCACTGCGTGCTAATAGAACCGTCCTTAGGGCAGCAGAGCGGAAATGGTGGAAATCCAAACACCGTGACGACCTCCTAACCTATCAAGCTCTCCTCTCCTCTTTCTCTGCTTCGATCTCTCAGGCAAAAAGCACTTTCTTTCAAGATAAGATCCAATCTTCCTATTCCAATCCTAAAAAACTATTTTCCATCTTCTCCACCCTCTTGGACCCTCCAAAAGCTCCTCCCCCCTCCTCACTTCTGTCAAGCGACTTTGTTACCCACTTTGAAAAAAAGGTTAATGATATTCGCTCTTCTTTTTCTGACTCACCTTTACTCACCGCTGGGTCATCAGACCCTCCTTCCACCAACACACTTACCTCCTTTTCCCCTCTCTCTCCAAGTGAGGTTCTTACCCTCATTACCTCTGCCCGCCCTACCACCTGTCCTCTGGACCCTATCCCTTCAAACCTCCTTCAGACTATCGCTCCTGATATTCTACCGTTTCTCACCCATTTCATCAACACTTCTCTAACTTCTGGTCACTTTCCAAACAGTCTCAAGGAGGCAAGAGTAAACCCTCTCCTAAAGAAACCCACTCTCAACCCGTCTGATGTTATAAACTACAGGCCTGTCTCTCTCCTCCCGTTCCTGTCTAAATCACTTGAACGCGCTGTCTTTAAACAACTCTCCTGTTATCTCAATCAGAACAACCTTCTGGATCCGCACCAGTCTGGTTTCAAGGCAGGTCACTCCACAGAAACTGCTCTCATTGCTGTCACGGAGGAACTGCACACTGCCAAAACTGCATCCCTCTCCTCTGTCATCATCCTGTTGGACCTGTCTGCTGCATTCGACACGGTGAATCATCAGATCCTCCTTCGCACTCTCCAAAAACTTGGAGTTTCAGGCTCTGCACTTTCCCTCCTCACCTCATACCGGAAAGACCGTACCTACAGGGTGACTTGGAGAGGGTCTGAGTCCGACCCTTGTCAATTAACTACGGGGGTCCCTCAGGGCTCTGTTCTTGGTCCCCTCCTCTTCTCCTTGTACACAAACTCGCTCGGATCAGTCATTAGCCCGCATGGTTTTTCTTACCACTGCTACGCTGACGACACCCAATTAATTCTGTCCTTTCCCCGCTCAGAGACCCAGGTCGTCGCACGCATCTCTGCTTGTCTAGCTGACATCTCTCAGTGGATGTCTGCTCACCACCTCAAGCTCAACCTTGACAAGACTGAGCTGCTCTTCCTCCCGGGAAAAGATTGTCCAACTCTTGACCTGACAATCAACATCGGCACCTCAGTTGTTTCCCCGACTCAGACTGCAAGGAATCTGGGTGTGACCCTAGATAACAACCTGTCCTTCACTGCAAACATCGCTGCTACAACCCGCTGCTGCAGATACACGCTTTACAACATCAGGAAGATACGTCCCCAGCTGACTCAGAAAGCGACTCAGGTTCTGGTCCAGGCTCTCGTCATCTCACGCCTAGACTACTGCAACTCCTTCCTGGCTGGTCTACCTGCATGTGCCATCCGACCTCTGCAGCTCACCCAGAATGCAGCAGCTCGTCTGGTTTTCAACCTTCCTAAATTCTCCCACACCACTCCGCTCCTCCGCTCCCTTCACTGGCTTCCGGTAACTGCTAGAATCCACTTCAAGACACTGGTACTTGCTTACCGTGCTGCGAATGGATCTGGCCCTTCCTACATCCAGGACATGGTTAAACCGTACACCCCAGCGCGTGCACTACGCTCTGCATCAGCCAAACGACTCGTTGCGCCCTCGCTGCGAGGGGGACCCAAGTTCCCATCGGCGAAAACACGTGGGTTTGCTATCCTGGCTCCAAGATGGTGGAATGAGCTCCCCCATTGACATCAGGACGGCAGATAGCTTGCACATCTTCCGGCGCAAACTGAAAACTCATCTCTTTCGACTCCACTTCGAGCGTTAGAACGATTAACGAAGCACTTTTATACCAATAAAGGACTGGATTACCTAAAGCCAGTTGAGTAGCACTTGAAATGTTTGGCTCTATGAAACCTGATATACTTATATGATTCTGTTTTCTTCAAGGTTGTGTCTTCCTGGTCGAATGTACTTATTGTAAGTCGCTTTGGATAAAAGCGTCAGCTAAATGCAATGTAATGTAATGTAATGTAATAACAACCGTTTTATTGCAGACTGTTATTTTTATGCGGGGAAATGGCAGTGCATACATTATTTGAGATATATTTCAAACTCGGACTTCATTTTAAGGACATGTCGGCCAGGGGTGTATAGCTATATGTTTATTTTATTAGCTTTTCTTTTTAATGACTGATTTTAAATGCCATTTTCTTAATGTTTTTCATTTTTTTGTAAAGCACTTTGAATTGCCTTGTGTTGAAAAGTGCTATATAAATAAACTTGCCTTGCCTTTGTTTAAGCACCGGATTGGCAAAACAGGAGAGTAAACCAGTCTGCCTTGATCTATGAATTCATGTCCGGGACTCTCACGGTATCTGCTGCCCGCAGCTGTTTTATAGAAGGAAAACCTCCTTCACTTCATGAAATGGCTGCAGCATCAGGAGGCAGCGGGACGTGTAACTCCGCCTCTGAGAAGTGCAGCACCAGCGCGCCGAGAGCTGTGCCTTTTTACGCACCGCCTTCGCTGTGTTTACCTTCATCAGAACAGCGAGTGACTGCAGGCTGCTACGTGTTAACCACACACATCGAACTGCCCGATTACTCCCCCTTTTATTAGTTTTATGAAGAAGATGTCCAGTCACCAAGGCGCATGATATGTGTGTGTGTGTGTGTGTTTGTGTCTGTCTGACACCGGCATTTGTTTTCAAATGACCATGAACAGTAATTTACACACATCTGGCTAACTCCATAGGTAGCCTATATGCGGGTGTTCCCAAAATAAATTACTTTAATCTTCACACACACACACACACACACACACACACACACACACACACACACACACACACACACACACACACACACACACACACACACACACACACACACACACACACACACACACACACACACACACACACACACACACACACACACACACACACACACACACACACACACACACACACACACACACACACACACACACACACACACACACACACACACACACACACACCACACACACACACACACACACACACACACACACACACACACACACACACACACACACACACACACACACACACACACACACACACACACACACACACACACACACACACACACACACACACACACACACACACACACACACAATTAGCCTATGTTGCTACCTGCTGGTGAGTAAATATTAAAATCAGTTAAAATTGAAAACCGGTCCGCGATTTTTTTTTTTATGTATCTGCCGGTCCTTGGCACAATAAAGGTTGGGAACCCCTGATGTAGATGATCCAGAAGAGGATTGGGAGAATGTCAGATGGTCAGAGGAAACTAAAATATAACTTTTTGGTAAAAACTCAACTAGACGTGTTTGGAGGAGAAAGAATGCTGAGTTGCATCCAAAGAACACCTACTGTGAAACATGGGGGTGGAAACATCATGCTTTGGGGCTGTTTTTCTGCAAAGGGACCAGGACGACTGATCCGTGTAAAGGAAAGAATGAATGGGGCCATGTATCGTGAGATTTTGAGTGACAACCTCCTTCCTTCAGCAAGGGCATTGAAGATGAAACGTGGCTGGGTCTTTCAGCATGACAATGATCCCAAACACACCGCCCGGGCAATGAAGGAGTGGCTTCGTAAGAAGCATTTCAAGGTCCTGGAGTGGCCTAGCCAGTCTCCAGATCTCAACCCCATAGAACATCTTTGGAGGGAGTTGAAAGTCCGTGTTGCCCAGCGACAGCCCCAAAACATCACTGCTCTAGAGGAGATCTGCATGGAGGAATGGGCCAAAATACCAGCAACAGTGAGTGAAAACCTTGTGAAAACATTTGACCTCTGTCATTGCCAACAAAGGGTATATAACAAAGTATTGAGATGAACTTTTGTTATTGACCAAATACTTATTTTCCACCATAATTTGCAAATAAATTCTTTAAAAATCAGACAATGTGATTTTCTGGATTTTTTTTTTCTCATTTTGTCTCTCATAGTTGAAGTGTACCTAGAATGAAAATTACAGACCTCTCATCTTTTTAAGTGGGAGAACTTGCACAATTGGTGGCTGACTAAATACTTTTTTGCCCCACTGTATATTATTTTATTCTGTTAAGATATACTTTTACATTTTAGCCAAAGTTTAAGTAGGGAATTTAGTTTTTAAAAAACCTTGAGGCTGACCGGAACTAACACAATGAAAATTGCACTTTGGTAAAAAAAGGTTTTGAGGATGTGATGTTTTCAGGTAAATCAACAGGTGAACACTTGGGTTACTTTCATCAAAATGTAAACTATTTGAACACCAGTGTGAACTTGCATGTATTTGATTGGACGGTGCAGAGAGCCAGCGCTTCAGGATGATGTTGCAGCAAACCCAGGTTCAACTTAAGGTTGTAAAAAACGGTGTTCTTCCACACAGTTTATAAGTATCAGTCCTAGTGCAACTTCATATCAATCTATCCAATCGTTTTCAGTCAAGACCAACCAACTGACGGTCGGCAGGATCTAGATTTGTTTGCAAGTGTTGGTTGTGCCGTTTTATTTTGTATTTGTTATTACTGCCGAATTGTATTCCATGTAAATACTGCAATATTTTTACTATATTTTTAATTATTTCTAATTTTTTGAAATGTAATTTTATATGTTTCCCCCACGACATTAAGTCAAATTCCTCATACGTGTAAACCTACTAGGGATGTGCATCTCCATCACTGAGGCCGATGCGATGTGCATCTCGATACGTTGCCACGATACGATACATTAACGATACATTTGAAACACTAGGCGATGCGATACGATACGATACGATTCACCCCTGTTGCGATACAGTTCGATACGATTTGATTCAACATTATGCGATTTGGTGCGATACGATGCGATTCAACACGATGCAAAAATAATGATACTTCAATATGGTACGACAGAGGATTTTTGTTTTATTCCTTATATGCAGCAAATCATACATTAACAAAAAAGTGCTTTACATATTTGGTACTGCACATCCCATCATGCCGTTTATTTTGTTGCCTTTAAAAGCTTTCCAGAGTACAATTCTATAACACCTCAGTCCACATCCAACAATGTAAGGATGCATTGCTCATGATTAACAATGTGAAAATAACAGCTACCATAGTGCAATGCCCATACAGCTGCCAGCCTGATGTGCTTAACACTCATTCATAGGCTAACTCACCAGTGAGCAGAAAGCAGTGGGTTCTATATGAACAATAAAGAATACAAATAACCTTTCACAAACAGGTATTTCATAACTGCTTACAGTAAGGAAGACATTTACATTATTATTGGCCGTCACAGGCTGCTGTAAACTAAACACCACTCTCTCTGACAGAACACCTCACTGAGTGATTTAACTCGTATGTCTAACTTTCATGTTTCTCTTTTCAGCCGCAGACCCCATGTCGCCTCTTTATGTGCGTCGCTAAGTTCCTCGTACTACTTGTGTACTTTAAAGCGGCTCGGAATCGTTAACAATTTGCGAGCGATTTTTCAAGTTGACCGTCTGTAGTATATAGTGCCGCGCACATATACCATCAGGACGTTACTGATGGGGTGCGGCTGCGGAGTGATACTGTGTGTATGTAAGCCCGCATCTAGGACGGATCTATGTATCATGGCTGTAGACCTGTTAAGTAATAAAGATACCTCATACAAAGGTCTACGGATACCTTATTACTCTCCATGACCTGCGGTCAACTATGTAGCATAAAGGACTATTACACCGTCTTTCTTGAACATTCTTGAACAATCCGAAGTGTTGCCAAACGTTTGATTTGTAGGTATTTTTCGGTGCGCTGTGTTTCTCTTTCTCCTCGACTTCCGTGTGTGTTGATAACTGAGACTCTCGGCCTCCGTAGTGGCGAAGCAAATATCAAAAATCGTCTCTGCTGAGCGTTGACAAGATGAGGGAATTTTATATGATGAATCGGTTTTTTACCGATGCAAAGACTCTACGCAATCGATGCATCGCGAGTTCAACCCGGTTCAACCCAAACTGTAGCCGATGTGCACTCTTTCAACCGGTGCACTCGCATCTTGAACGTTTATGTCGGTGCACCGATGCGAATCGGTGAATCTTAACATCTCTAAAACCTACCTGTTGATAAACCTGTTTCCGATTCTGATTGATGAAAGTGAATAACATCCCCTCTTACTTGACCTCATCGAAGAACTGCAGCAGCAGCTCCTTGGTGTTTCCGTCCTCCTGCCGGTTCCCGGTGTAGAGGTTGACGAACGCTCTCTCGAAGTACGGAGAAACCTTAGAGAGCGCGCGCAGCTCGATGAGGTACAGGAAGTAGAGGTTCTTCAGCCGCCGCGTGCCCTCGCCCTTCGTCTCCGCCGTGTCGAAGCGCTGACGAAACTCCTGAAGGTTCGGACCCCAAATCGACCGGCCCCAACCCTCTGAGGAACCAAACACACAAACACAACTTTTACTACACGATAGAACACGCAACTGTTTGTTTAACACACTGTTTAAACACACTGAAGCCCAGAAACACAAGTAATATATGTTATATATATATATATATAACATATGTTAAACTGTAACCAGATTAATTACAAAAGGTATAAGTCGGCAAATATTATCTTTATTTCAGCATTCTTGAACATTTGTTACTGTGAAAATGATGTTGTTAGACATGTTTAAAATATTTATAATTGTTTGCTTCTATAAGGTCTTCAAGTTATTCATCCCTTTTGACATTGTTATGTTATCTTAAAACTGCAGAAGAAAAACCTTGAAACCGAGTCAGGCCCACTGCAGCTGTTTGGACAACATTTAACATTGAGAAGTTTTCCTTAATTTGTTTATATTATTTATTTGTTTCTCTGGCAGGGACATTGCACATTAATAAACACTTAAAACATGAAATAGGCCAAGTGTATGCCGGATCTAGCTTTGAGCTACTTTCCATCCGCAGTCCCTCACATAGAACATTAAGAAAACGAAAATGTCAAACATAGCCGTACAAATATATAAAATGCAAGAAAAGTGCAAGAGTAAGAGTAGAATAAGTATTTAGGACATGGTAATACATTTACAGAAGATGTTCTCCAAAAAATAGTTGATATGCCTTCGTAGGTAGATATTCAAGCATCATATAAGGAAATGTATATACGCTTAAAGGTGGGGTAGGTAAGTTTGAGAAACCGGCTCGAGATACACTTTTTGTTATATTCCATGGAATGCTCTTAACATCCCGATAGCAATGAATTTATTAAGTGCTTTGACAAAAAATCCATAAACAAATGTCATCTGTGGAAGACTAGTACTGTCAAAAGCACGACCAATCATCTGAGCCGGCCCGGCTAAAGTAACTGGATGGCCTACCTGCCTGTCAGCCTTCCATCTGTGCACACACTTATCTCGTGCCCTCATTGGTCATGTGCGCGTTCATGTGTGTTGGAGGAGGGGCTCTGTAAGGAAGGGGCAGATTTTCTCCGGTTGTGTATTTTCAAATTCTAGCGCACTCGAGCTGGTTTCTCCAAAATTACCTGCCCCACCTTTAACTAAAACCTAACTATAAGCTTTATTTTTTCCTTTAAAATAATATTCACAATAATTGATACACAGTCTGGTGCAGCCGATAGTCGTAATGAAATCCTGCTGACCTCAGTTCTGGTTTCACGTTAGGTTGAATTAAGACTGAGTTGGCTTTGGTGTCACAGGGGATAAAGCTTAAAGCTGTAGTGAGATCAGTCGTACCGTTCAGCAGGTACTCGGCACACAGGTGGATGTTGATGCTGCTGTGGAGGCCCGAGATCAGCCGGTAGAAAACTCTCTTCTCTAAACACAACCCTGAAAACGAGAGGGAGAGAAAGAAGTGAGGAGGACATGCTTTTATGTTCTAAAGCTAACTATTATACTAACAAATCAAGAGGAACTTATCTTCCTATGCAGATGTTATTTGTCCATATTTATAGACTTCTGTTTTTGAATGTGACATTTCTTCCTCTACTATTGTAATGGAGGTGAAATTAATATAATTAAAATGCATCTTCATTCCAAACACTATTTGTTTTAACATGAACAGACAGAAAAAAAGCAAGGAAATTAAAATGTTTAAGATACAAAATAAAACAAATGTTCTGCAATTTTGGGATGAAAAATGACTTAATCCATAAATGTTTCCACATATGTTTCAGTTGATCAGATAAGCAATCAGTCAGCTAATTGTTGCTTTTTCATACTTATCACAATATGACAAATCACTTTTAATTGAAGTTCATTCAAATGAAACGAAATGTAAAAATGCTTCACGTGTCAAATCCTTACATCCCGTGAGTTCGAGGTCAAGAGCTGCAGGAAGCAACGTTTTTAAAAGGAAGTATGACGTTGTTTGTGAACTCAAACATAAAGGGAGATGTCACAGAACATTTCCTTTGGGGAAGAAAAAGATCAAACAAGAGGAAGTTCTCACCTTCGAGCCACGTGTAGAAACCCTCTCCTGCAATGTGAGCGAGGTAAAAGAGAAACTTCATCAGTTTATAAAAAAACTCAAATAGATTCACATGCCGACAGTTCAGTTTTACTCACCATCGTCGTCTCCTGAACAAAGAAAAGGAGAGAACAAAGCTGAGTAAGATATCTTCTATTAATAAACACCTCGGCAACATTACAAACAGATAACAGGCGATCTCAGGAAAAGATGCAAACATTAAAGTGTGCGTGAGAAGTCATGCTGCAGGCTCACGGTGGGGTTTCTACAGAAATGTCTTTTAGGAATGAAAACAAATCTAAAAATGTCAATGATTATTTGACTTGTTTATGCTGATCAGAGGCAGATTTAAATACAGTATCATCCATATAGTAAAGGACGGTTTGTCATTAGACTTGTGCGGCAGGGGTATTCATCCAGGGTACATGCAGGAATCCTGAAGTCAGATGTAAAACCTTTGAAGACCCTTTCCATACATTTTAAGACCTCATCGCCACTTTGAGTTTTAACCGGTTACCTTGGCGACACACTTTACCTCACATTGACTATATACAGTATTGATTGTCCTTCCTCCTTATCTTCCAACCATTTGGACGCAAACTTGCATTTCCCCATAACGATGTTGTTCAACAACCGGCATAAACGGACCTTCGCGTGCTATCAAGCAGTGAGCGCGCGATGTCCTGTTCAGATGACGTCACATCCAACGGGATGCCATCAATAAACTACACAGAATCACACTACACACCTACGCCATGATTACATTCAGGCAGACTGTAGAATACAACCTCTTTGGACCATTTATATACTTATTGAAAACAAGCTACAAAATGTAATACCTTGGAAAACGCCGTTTTATACTTTTTAATAGCCTTCATTTTCACTAAATTGATTTATCAACTTTACTTTTAAAGACCCCGCGGACACCCTGATATATATATTAAATAATATAATACTGGATGTAATGTAATGGCTGTTTAACTGATTGCAAAAGTGATCAAAAATAAGTGAATTGATTGCATTTACTTGGAAGATTTTCATTATTTTGCAAGTAATTTATTATTTAGCACCATTTGCAATACAATTATGTCGTCTTTTAGGAATAAACATGTCATTATGTTGTATTTGTACAATCAGGAATATAACTGGATGCCCCATTTGACTTACAAACATAGATTCCAAAAGATAAGCTATTTTCATTTTGGTGAAAGACCTCTAAGACCTTTGGTATTATGTTTAATGTAATGGGTCAAATGTGCTGTCTCACGTGAGGCATTATGGGTAAAGATGTGGATTATAGATATCTATAAACCACTTCTCTCTCATATCTCGGATAACAAGCTGAGGTTTCCATTTTCACTTCCTTGACGTCACATTGAACATCCTTTAAAGCTTTTAGACACTTATATGGATGTGTTATCAACCAAAGATTGTTGACACTTAACCCTTTTGAAAAACATGTTTGACTAACTATAATAGGGGTTATTATAATTCGGATTATAATACATAAAACAAATAACAGCCTTGAGTAAAGAGAACCATAATTTTGCAATATCCTAATTTGAGGCCTATCATTGAATGAGTTATATCTAACAAGAGAAGCCATGTCAAATATGCAGCTGAGCAAAAATGAACCTTAAACATAATGAAAAATAATGAAAAACCTGAAAGCATAAACAATTAAATTAAGTGCATAATATTGAATATGACATTTGATTCTAGAGTTCAGTGATAGCACACATGATAACAAGATGTTCTATTTAAGCAAAAGCCTGGGGTTTAGTTTGTTGAAACAGCAGCTGATGAAACAGATATTGATTCGTCTCTGACTCACCTCTGCTCGGAGCCAGAGGGTTCAGAGGTCGGTACACCGATCTGGGTCTGAAGACAGAACACACACTTTTATTAACCATCAATAATCATCACAGAGGAGGATTTCCAACAGCTTTAAATGTGGACATGTCTAAACAAAAGACAAAAAGAGAGAGAACAGAAATCACTTTTTCTTAGACGCTCTATAAAAATGCATTTTAGTTTCAGTCCGTACATATTTTCAAACACAAAATAAGTTGAAGCACTCATTCTTGCACCGCTTTATTTTGTGATGATCTAACCCAGGGGTTTTCCAAGTGTGGAAAGGTGAGCCTCCCCTCAGAGAACATAAGAACAGCCGCACCCCCCCCCCCCCCCCAATTATTATTGCTATTATTATTATTATTATTATTATTGTTGTTGCTAAAATGCAGGGGCATTCAATTGCATGTCAAAGAGGTCCAGTAAGAGAACATGTCATTAAATGCTCTGTGTTTGCTGTCTACCTTCCGCCATTTGAAATTACTCCGACTGTTTCTCTCGTCTCTGTGTGTGAATCTATCGTGCTCACTGACTGCACCGATTTGATTGGCTGAGTAGCGCCACCTCCTTAAAACAATTAATTTTTTCAAACCTTTTTATCTTTATGTTTTAAACATATTGTATAAAACTCCCCCACTACTTGGACTATTCCTTGCACCCCTCTAGAATAAGCCCGAATGGTCTCAACTATATTGCATCAGTGACGTAAGGACACTGGTATAGCGATCGGACAATTGAGTGTTGTTCAGTTTGTGTGTTGTGGAACATGCGTGTCCGTGCACGAAAATATACCACACACCCAATTATAATTGCGTGTTCAATTCACTACCCTGCAAGTTAATAAAGTTGTTAAAGTTGGAACAGACCAGGCAGTCGTTCTTCCTTGCATGTCAGTCGCCGACACCTTCTTACAGAGGACAGGCAAATCTAGCTGCAGCACTACCCGTATATGGTCACACGCCGTGTTGTAAACACATTTTTTTTTAACATTTTCAACATCGTGGATACATCCTTACATGCTCCCGGCAACACACTGAACGTCAACTTTGCCTCCTTATTACACTCACCCCTACTTTAGTGGGAACAATGAGTCTGCGTCTTTGATGCACACAGGAATAAACGCAGATCACCTTCTGGCTGCAGCCTTGACCAGCACTTGCTTTTGATCTAAGTCAATGCGGAAAACCCGCACTCACACAGGTAGGTGGAGGCAGGGGCGGACTGGGATTAAAAATCAGCCATGGAATCTCACCCAGCCCAGCCCCCACAAATTAGCAGAGCACGCTGGTGAACTGTCAACGGGGGGGGGGGCCTCGCTGCGTGGAAACGGCCCGCTGAACGGACCCCTGTCGCCTGTCAGCGCAACTTAAATGATGCCGTTTAAAAACATAAAAATAAGGGGCGAACAGAGCCGGTCTGTTCCGGAACACACAGATGGCCAGTCCGCCCCTGGGTGGAGGCGAAGGGAATGAGCACTTTTACAGCCTCCTTGGCGAGGTGGGGGAACTCGGTCTCCACAGACAGCCAAAAGTGGGCAAGTGTCACTTTACTCGTCTTTTTCTCGTTATTTTTCTCTCACGCTGCGCCTCCCTTGAAGCTCTCTGGTGCCCCCCCAGGGAGGCGCGCCTCACACTTTGAAAACCGCTGATCTAACCAATTCATTCTTACTGTAGAGTGAGTGAGTGAGTGAGTGAGTGAGTCAGTGTGTGTGTGTGTGTGTGTGTGTGTGTGTGTGTGTGTGTGTGTGTGTGTGTGTGTGTGTGTGTGTGTCTCACTTGAAGCAGTTTTCCTCGTAGATGCTGTTCCAGACTCTCCAGGCTGAAGGTCCTTTGTATCCGGTGTATCGCTCCGGATTCAGCAGCAGATCCACGTACTCAGAGTCTGGAGCGGTTTCATCTAACACACACACACACAAAACACACACACACACACACAACATATTAGACTTCAAACAACGGAGAGCATGATGACACATAAGTGAGCTTGTTGTGTAAACATGGTCAGAGCCTCTGGCTCCACAAACATACAAAGTGTTGAATAGAAACAATCACATCCTGATTGATGTCTTCTTTACCATTACATCTTTCTGTGAACAAGAGGAACATTTGTTGTGAGGGTTGGTGTTCGATTAAAGGTCAGTAGGTGAAAAAGCAGGAATGTCCAGAACATTTCATTGAAAACGTTGCAGTAGTTCAGATCAGGTCTGAGGGAGTGAATGCTCACCGTCGAGCTCACAGAAGTGATCCTGAGCATCGTCGTGTTTCTCCCAGTTAGCGAACGCCTCTTTGCTCTGGTTACTGAAACAGGAAGTCATAGAAAACAAATGTAATCACAGAGGAGAAACTATCACAACATTTTAAGAAACCGAAACAACTTAAAGTCACTTTCTGTTATTAATATCTGAGATTTTCAGACACTCATTTTTTTAAGACTGTTTGAATAATGGCTCATGACTGAGATCTGATCTATTGCATATATTTAATGTTTACAAAATTGTGCATTTAGACCAGGGGTGTCAAACTCAAGGCCCGGGGGCCAAATCCGGCCCACGACTTCATTTCATGTGGCCTACAAGATTACGGTTACATGCCACTTTACAGGAGCAGGTTGCCCATACACTACATGTCCCACAAGGCATCTCGTTTTGTGACATGCGCACTGAAGAGACTTGCAATTATTTGCCCTGGAATTCTGCTTTCAGACGTAGTTAATTACGAAGTTATTACCCCATCCGATAATAATCCAATTCAGAGGCAATAATGTAATATAATACATTATATATCTTATATATGTATATTTATATACAGGGTATATGCAGGAATCCTGAAGTCAAATGTAAGACCTTTTAAGACCCTTTCCATTAGGGGTGTAACAGTATACGTACCCGTGTGTACCGAAGTGTACCGAACGAATATAACGTTAAACGTAAAAAATTGAGAACGTGAACAACTTTTTGGAAGTAATCTCAGGTGCTGCGTCGCAGCATTCAGAGTAATTTGCTCACATTGGGTTCAACACGTCATAGAGCGAGCAAGTCATTTCATTGGACGAGAGGCATACTATGAGAGCTGGTCACAGGGATGCGTTCAAATTGAGTCAGTAATTTGAGGAACTGTTGAAATGGCGCACGCAGATAAAGTTGAGCTCGAAAATCCTCCAGCATCATTGAAGTCTCCGGTTTGGGAACATTTTGGTTTCGCAGTTACGTACAAGGATGACGGACAAAGACAGGTGGACCGAACCAAAGCTGTTTGTCGGCATTGTTCAACTAACATTGGTTATGCGGCTGGCAATATATCAAACTTTCACACTCATTTGAAAAGGCATCACCCGAACGTGAATATCACCGGTACCAAAAGAAAAAAGACTGAAGTGCAAACCCAACTCCCGCTAGCATTAAGCCTCCACCACTCGCAGAGAGTTCAGACCGAGCCAAAGCTATTACAAACACCAACTATCCTTATGTTGCCATGTTAGCAAAGCGCTACCTGGCTGGCATTATTCACAGTTTAATAATAATAAAAAAATATATATATATATTTTATGTTTTGTGATAATTTGTTCTGCTGTACCGGAAACAAACCGAACCGTGACCTAAAAACCGAGGTACGTACCGAACCGAAATGTTTGTGAACCGTTACACCCCTACTTTCCATACATTTTAAGACCTCATCGCCACTTGGAGTTTTAACCGGTTACATCGGTCACACTTTACCTCACATTGACTATATACAGTATTGATTGTCCTTCCTCCTTATCTTCCAACCATTTGGACGCAGACTTGCATTTCCCCATAACGATGTTGCTTAACAACCGGCGTAAACGGGCCTTCGCGCGCTATCAAGCAGTGAGCGCGCGATGTCCTGTTCAGATGACGTCACATCCAACGGGATGCCATCAATAAACTACACAGAATCACACTACACACCTACGCAATGATTACATTCAGGCAGACTGTAGAATACAACTTCTTTGGACCATTTATATACTTATTGAAAACAAGCTACAAAATGTAATACCTTGGAAAACGCCCTTTAATACTTTTTAATAGCCTTCATTTTCGCTAAATTGATTTATCAACTTTTAATACTTTCTAAGACCCCGCGGACAGCCTCATATAGTTACAACCGGCCCTTTGAATGTTTGAATGTTAATGTGGTCCACGATGAAATTGAGTTTGACATCCCTGCTTTAGACTTTATTAAGTATGATACAGAAATATGCCAAAACAACTGAAATCTAGTACAGGTATGAAAGTATCTAACAGTGTAACTATGAACGATTACTTTGTAAAACTCAAGAAAAATCACCCTTTTATCAATAATACAAGTCAGAATAATCAATTGTTCTCCTATAATAATAATTAATGCGATAGACATTTTCTTACCACACGATATTTATTATTTGGGAACATGGGAGAACTGTTTTTTCATAAAATACAATTAAATATATATTTAAAAAATAGTTTTTTTTACAGATTTGTGCCTGAGCAATCCCAAAAACCACTTCAGAGGAAACTTCAGGGATCCACAGCGTCCCTCTTTTTGAATAATTAATTCCACATTAAAAAAAAAATCCACCAGCAGCTTAAGATAGATGTTAAGAAATAGTGAACTATAGAAGGAAATGGGCTTCAAATACGTCCATTGTTATATAAACAAAGCCCTGATGTTACTTTATGTCAGGGGTGGGGAACCTTTTTCCTCTCAAGGGCCATTTCAATTTTTACAACATCCTCCGAGGGCCGTACACATTATTGACCTCTGCTTAAAAGCACTAAAATCACAGCTCATTCATTTGGCCTTTCTTTCATTCTGTGCAAAGAAAAAGCAACCTCTTAATCCAGATATTTTACCATGACTCGCGCATGCATGCACGTGCACGGTTGTGGCATGACCACCACAACAGAAAGATATGGACACAAGATGTGTGCAAATGTATTTAGTTTCCTGTCCATGTCATGGATGTATAATAAGAACTGGATACAGCGTGGGAGGCGGGGCCTCATTCATTCCTATGAGAGTTGCTCATTAGCGCATGATGATAAAATGGCCCAACTTTTGAGAGAGCGAAACGTCACAGATTACCCGGCATGCCTGAGAAGTACCCGTATGTGCGCTCATAGCGCATGCGCAGCTTTAACCAAAATGCTCGTTCACATCAAGCACGTCAATTTGCGTACACGTAACAGCACCGTGCGTTCATGACAGCATGGTAATGGATTGTTATTATGATGGATTTGATATTAACGAGGCGGCAGTTAGTTAATTATGCTAATGTACACATCAATCGTTATGTACTTATATTACGCTGTAACAGGATCTAGTGATATCCAAGCAACAGAGCTTCATTTAACATGAAAGAGTTATTGCACCGTATATATATATATATACACAGTGCAATATGCTTATTAGTGCAATAATAAGCTACAGGGATGTTAATCTAACGTCGGTAATATTAACTTTATTTAATACAATATTTACGGTACAATATTTAATCATACAGCCCATGTAGTATAATATTTTACAAATGATGAATTACAGCAAACATGTGCAATATATCCATTATTACAGCACCGTGGGCAGTAAGGCGATATGGTCCGTTCTTATTGTGCATCCATGGGTAAAGAGAAACTCATGTAGTGCTGAACACGTAACATGAATGTGCCGGGCGGCGGGGTCCCGTGGGTTAGATGCACGTTCATAATGCAGAGGGAAATGTACTCTCAGAATAACGTTATTATTTACAACTTGAGGAACGAATGTTTTTATAAGGGCTATACAAGTGTTCATACTGGGTTGTTTATTTAATTTAAAAAAAAATTATCCAACGAGTTACAGACCAGTCTTTCCTAATGTAAGTCAATGGGAAAAAGTGTTTCCGGGCCCAGCAACCTAAAGGAAGTGTAGTACCGCCGTTTGGCCACAACGAATATTCTCATCAGACTCCGGCGCACTTCCTGGGGGCTTGGTCCATATGAACATGATTTAAGTGGGGGGGGGGGGGGGGGACCTAACCTCCTCTAGTGGGGTCCGGGGGGCATACTCCCCCCGGGAGATTTGTTTTTAAAATGTTGAAGTTAAAAGCATCAATCTGGTGCACTTTGAGAGCAACATTTGGAGATCTATGGATACATCTCTCAACACCCATATGAAACAGAACTGTAAGCAGATGTCTTTGTCTTTATGGATATTTTACAAATCACTCCCCTTTGTATTCTTGTTTATTAATAACAACTTGTTTTTTTACTGTCATATAGTATTTTATACCTGTTTACTTTATTATCTTATTTTTTTATAACTATAATGATCATATAAAGATGTGCCTTTACCTCACTGGTTGTAGAAAAAGCTTCTTATATTCGTTAGCATAGCTAGCTAACCAGATGCTAATAACAACAAAGTTATTGACTGTATGATCAGTGTGAAAGATGAACAGATCGCCACTGTGCTTACTGCTTACAACTAAAGACACAGACACGCAGAAACTGCGGCATGTGTACGGCTCCTTATGGGGGTACTGCAATTTCTGAAGTGCCGGAGCCGCGTTCTGCTGCTCTCCAGCAGAACTGCACCCCTGTCAGACGAGACATATACCACGTGATGACACGTTAGGCTCGTGATGTGTTCAAGGACCCTGACCTTGGCCAGGAAAAACAGGCACTCGCTTGTTTAATTTTTTTGCGGTCTAGATTTTCTTTTTTGCGTGTGTTTATAAATTACCTCGAGGGCCGTACCAAATGGTCTCGCGGGCCGTATACGGCCCGCGGGCCGGAGGTTCCCCACCCCTGCTCTATGTGATGGTGCACAGAGGAGGAAAGTATTTTCTCTCTTCCTGTTATTCTCCCCATTATATTTTTAGACTTTTTGGTTGAGCGAGTCTTTAAACACATTGTTTTATCTTTGTCGTTTCAGCACATATCTATGGTTTAAATATCCCTCGACTCAGGTCAGTCAGCTGAGAAACCTCCAGCAGCTGCACATCAGATGTTAGTGAATGTTTGACTTTACTATCAGCTGTGAAGCCGCTTTGCATTTTGGGTAAATGAGCTGCTGCAGCTGACTGTGTTAAAAGTGTGTGTGTGCAGTGGGAGATAAAGCAGACAGGAGGGTTGTGTGTGTGTGTGTGTGTGTGTGTGTGTGTGTGTGTGTGTGTGTGTGTGTGTGTGTGTGTGTGTGTGTGTGTGTGTGTGTGTGTGTGTGTGTGTGTGTGTGTGTCACCTCAGGGTGCTGTTGATGGCGCCCAGATTTTTGGCCTGTTCACACTCCGTCACATCGGAGGCCGTATCCGCTGGCTTGGAGTACTGAGACAAAAAACACTACAGCTGTTAATGCCATGTTTATAATAAGAACATGTGGATCTGAAACTGACAAAAATAAGCTGATGTCGGTAAATCAGAATCAGAATAGAGTGAAATTAAATAAATAAAAAATGTATACAATTTAAATATATTCTTTTAAGTGTATTATATCTAATTTGACATTGTCATTCCTGTGTGTGGATCTGTAAAGCCCCCTAAGATGAATGCATGTTGTGATATTGGGCAACACAAATACAATTTGATAAACATAATTAATTTAGTAAAATGTCCAAAACAATATCAAAAATATAGAAATACTTTTGTTAGCTGTCAAAAAATATGTTTTCCTGAATAAAATACAGTTCAGAATTGACGTATTTTAAATAAATGGAAACAGGGAAATAATCAATAAAAGGTTTAACATTGAGACCACGCTTTACTACAATTTATTTAAAAAAATGGTACGGTCATGCAAGTCAACAAGTGATGTTTTTCTTTGTACTGTTTCCGTTTCTGATTTGATGTAAAGCGTCTTTGAGCACCAGGAAAAGCGCTATAAAAATTCTACGTATTATTATTACAAAGCAGATAATTAGGCCATAAACTCAACTGAGTCATGTGTGAGGTCTAACATGGAGGCAGTGTATACAGCCACTTTTTCAGAGATCACCAGAGAACCTTTAAAGTGCTTCACAGGTATTTCCTATGTACAATTTCATATTTAAAATATCTTAAAATCCTGTGAAACCCACTGTTAACCCTGCGATCTAAGCTAACTGAAGCTTCTGTCAGTAAGAACATTACAAACCAGTAACAGCCACTTTAAAAGCACACAGAGATTGAGTTTGATGCTCAAAATATATATTTCAGATATCACTTTAAGCCGCATGATGAACCTCTCCACTTCCAAACGGCACGCTCCTCACATACTGCTGAGGAGGCAGAGGAGTCGTGTTTTCTTTCATCTCTTCTCGCTGACTAACAGCTTCCCAGCCGACGGTCAGTGAAAAACATTCGACCTCGACTGTTACAGATGTCAGAACACTTCTGGGTCATTACAAGACAAACACCAGGCCGCGAGCCAACGAACACTCAGTCTGTGCGTGGAAACTAGCAGAGCAGATAAGCTGAGTGCTAGGAGAGTAAAGAGAGTGTGTGTGTGTGTGTGTGTGTGTGTGTGTGTGTACAGAATCAGCTAATGTGGTGGAACAAACCGCAGCTGGTGCTAAACTCCATTTGGTTTTCAGTCCGCAGATACAGATAGTTACAAAGTTAGATTCACTGCATTGCATTTTCAAACCGACGCTGAGTTTATCGACCATCAGGTATATTCTGTGACTACATTCTAGTGGAGGTCGTCTTCTTCTGTGCAATATATAGATTTTCCAGCTCAATGTTGTTATTCGCTGTGTTTATTTCCCTGCTGTTAGACAAATAAAGGATTTCTCATTCTGTTGGATGGCGTTTGTTTCAAGCTGAGAGAACAGAGATAACCTTTTTAAGTTTCAAACCCATCATGTATCTTCTCAGTCTCACCTTGTTGTAGTTCCCAGACTTGATGCCCACTGGGATCTGGCTCTGTAAAACAACAAAGAGATCAACAGATAAACAAACGCAATCAATAAGAAACAGCTTTAACATTGTTACAATTATCTGAGTGAGTAAATCAGTGTTTTAAAAGCATGTATGTTGCTATATATACAGTCTATGGTATGTTGTGAAACTAAAGTCATACGCAGTAAACAACTTAACAGGAAAGTACAGCTAGAAAAAAAAACATGACGACAACTTCAGGGACCTAAAATAAATCCAAACTATTGCTTAAAAAGTTGTGTTAATTCTTGTGTTATGAATATGGGTGTGTGTGTGTGTGTGTGTGTGTGTGTGAACACTGACCTCTGGGCAGGGCTCCACATGGCAGTCTTTGATGGCACAGTGTCCGTCGTTCGGCCAGAAAGGACACGGTCGCTTCAAGTTCACCTGAAAAAGAGACAGAAAAACATCCACATGAGTTCATGGTGCTTCGTATCAGAGGAGATTTGGCCACGCGACACAATAAGTCTCTAAGGCCAGGTTATTCATCCCACTTACTTGAGCGAGAAATAGCTTTTTTTATATTAAAATACATGTTTCAGAAGTCAGATTAACAAAAAACAGTCAATCCTGAACTCTCATGATACCATCGTGTATCCTTCTCACAGTAATATCTCTGATTGTGCTCCTCCTACAACAGCGTGTCCTCCTCAGCGAATGCTAACATAACGTTAGCTCGAGCAGCTACTCATGTCGCATCAGACATGACGTGCCAGCAGAGTGACATTCTTAACATAACTCGGCAGCAGTTGTATCAGAACATGATTTTACTTTTGAATGCTATGATTACACTTAAATATTAAGGAATAACGTTTAGTACGCCACTAATGCAACCTCTCCTTTAATCTAAGGTCAATTTGCCATGTGTTCTATTAAAAACTAGGACAATGTGCATAGCCTAGATGTTGACTTCTTTCCCATTCATTCTAATAAGTGCTAAACCAGACACACACAAACTCAATTAGGCATCTTCCTCAGAGCCCTCTTTTCCTCCTGTGGCACCAACACTCAGACAAAGCATTTTAAAGATGCTTTTCCAAAGGATGTACCTGGTTTGATGCCTTGTGTCTGACGATATGTTCATGTGGCACATGATGTCATCAGAGCAGGTGTGATCAGCGGTAGACGGAGCAGAAGTGTACAAATAAAGATATAAACGTCCCCAGAGGATCAAATGGAGGTTTAAAACTGTAGTTACAGTATTCACTAAAACACACTTTCTCTTGCTGCAACTGCTCGCTGTAGTTTGAGTATTTCACAATATTTCATCGTTCCCGTTCTGCAACAGGATCATAAAGACAGCTGCCGTTGTTGTTTAACGTGATGCCTTTTTTTGATGAACAAAGCTTTTTGACAGACCTGCACCAACCTGAATATCAGGGCGTGTCCTCGGCTGTTTACACCAGCAGGCGCTGTCACTACTTGAGAAATGTTCTCATGCGATAATGTGAGAATTTAACGAGTCTTTTTTAAGGACAGCGCAAAACTTGAACGTGAAGGGACATCATTTACACAGATTTTCAAAGGAAAAACAACATTTTTGGACAAGTTTGATTGATTTTAACTGATTTTCAACGCTTATATGTTCTCACATCCAAATGGTATAGTTTCTCTTCTTTTTACAAGAAGAAGCTGATCACTGGACTTTACAGTAAACAACTACATGCATAGAAAACACAAGAGACGAGAAAGGCACATCCTTATGAGCTAGTGTCCCTTGAAGTAAACAAAAACAAACAACTTAAATAAGAGTCGGATTTGAAAAATGTTCACTTTGCATGAATTTTCATATTTCCGATAAATCTGATGCTCAGCCCTTTTTATAATATAAAGTGCAGAAGTTCAGACGTATTTGAGAACTACTGCCTTCTTTTACGCTTTTATTCCCGAGTGCAAGAAGCGTCTTGTTGTTTTCACAGAGAAGTGGCAGCTCTTACTCTGTAGTATCTGAAGTAGTCTTTCTCCGTCAGCCTCTTGATTCGAGGGTAGATCTTGAAGTTGTTGAAGACGTCGATGCTTTCAACGTCACAGAAGCAGTCGTCCAGGACCCCCGTCAGCTGGAGCAGAGAGAAACACGGATTACTGAGTGACGTCACACATGAAGAACAAAAAAGACAGAACAATGACCCAAAAAAGATTTGAGATCCTTAGCAACTTTTCAATTTGTCCTCTACTACACTTTTCATTTCTGCTTCACTGTCTTACTCACTAACGTGTCTCCGTTCATTCATTACAAGTAGCTGAAAGCTGTCGGAGGGAAAGCCAATGAAGTGCACACTCTAGATATAAGTGCAGATAAAGCCAAGGAGGTCATTTGTATTATTAGATATCTACACAGACTGGAATCTAAATCACCTGTATTCTATAGAGTTACTTTTTCAACTAATCAAGATGAGGTTGAATAATATGTGCATTTTTAGCTTATCTGTAGTAGATTTAACAAATACATAATTATTACAATAAAAGGTGCCACAATTTTATAAAACAGAAAATATTTCCAAACATGACATCGTTGTAAACTCTGAAGGATTCAATCAATCGATGAAACAACATTACACACACAACAACACAGACTATAACACCCCTTGTTGTTAAATACCATTGAACTATGTGCAATATATATATGCCGTTAATAACTGTGCAATATATACCTGGCTGCTAAATCTTCAGAACTGTTACAGGATGTGTGTTTTGTAAATTGTGTAACTTTAAAACAAATCTTTAATACTTTTGTATGCATGCTTCTTAGGTGGCCGTCTTTGGCTCTTTTCTGCTGTTACAATGTAGCTGCCCCCTCTGTGGGACGAATAAAGGCATTCTCATTCTGAACATTAAGGATATTTGTATAATTATGTAAAAGATGTATTAGGCTCTCCTTCTGCTAAACACTAACAACTCCACTGGGAAACCACTTTCCCCTTTTCACAGCAGGAGGCCCGCAGACACACAGGCTGTTGTCTACCTGCACTTCCATACATAATACATCCACCCCCTGCTGTGTGAGGGCGCACAGTGCTGTGTTACCTGATCCCAAACAGCTCATATAAAATGCAAACCTCCCTCTGATCATCACAAAGGATACACCTCAATCTGCAGATGAACGTATTTGACCCGAGGAGCAACTAAACAACCAGAGTTTGAAATCTGAGGAGAGTTCGGTAAACAGAGGGAGGTATTAAAGGTGGGGGCGTTAACACCACTGTTGCAGTAAAGAGGCTTTGGGTTGTCTTATCGTTTAAAGTTAGCGGTAACCTGTAGCTTTAATCCAGAGCACACACACCTGGTTTAGGGGGCTAAAAAACAGCTAACCTGCCCTGAACACAAACACTGTTGAGAGGGCATTTTTTAACACGTCATGTTTTTGGTAGGTTTTGTATTATCACAATAAACAAGACGCAATTTAGAAACCTTTGTCGTATTAAACTGATGATATCTTTCTTGAAAACAGACTGATCATTTGTCCATTAAATGAAAGAAAATAGTGAAAAATAACCCATAGCCCCAGTTGACATTAAAATGGGAAAGTATACACATTTCATAATACGACTATCCAGGACAACATTCTTAAAAAGGCACTAAAAACAATTAAATAAATACTAAATTAAGTTTTTCTTAACAGAACAGACGACTTTTTGGCATCACAGATAGGACACACATCTGTATTAAAATCAACCAACAATCTTAAATGATGTAATCATACGTCCCCTTGCATACATAAAGGAAGACTAAATACATTTAAATATCAACATTGTGTGAATTTTTTCTTTCTCACATGATTATTATTTATTTTTTAATCTGGCGATCTTTTTTTTTTACTATTTACAACAATAGTGGGCAGAGCTTGTTCAAGGTATGAATATTACAAAAGATACACCAACATACTGTGACTATACCTCCTATATTGTGGAGAAGTGATACACGAGGTAGTCGATTCAGAGCTTTGTTAATGTCTCTCTCGGTTTAGTTATTTGCATAAACAGATACACTTCCTAAAATGACCATTTCAGTGTTTCCCCATGTGTTGTTCCCCCAGGTGCTCATTCGAGTAAACATCACATCACTGACAAATATGTATGCCTGGAGGGAAGGTAAATACAAAATCTAAATCTCTGTATAATAACTATGGCTAGATGTTGTTTATTTTAAGTGCCCAATTCAATATGTAATACATTATAATTAGGCTTGGTTTTATATTGAAGAAAACTACCAAGGAAATTCTAAGAAAATGATTGAGCTGTAAATTAAAGCAAATGTTCTCGCCTTAAATAGCAATGTTTTAAATAAACAAATGTGAAATTAATGTATTAAACCAAATTAAATATCAGAGTATGACCAAGCATATGGAGCCACTTTTCTGCTATTTAATACAACACGAATAATACTGCTATGATCTTATCATCTACTTATATCTAGTATTGTATTATACAGACACATCTGGGAAATCTCAGTATAGCCATATTAACCAAACCTCGGTGTGAAGTTGTCCACCGAGCAGTCCACCGAGAGCCATGAGAGGCAGGAAGAGGCAAATCCCTCTCAGCATGCTGTTGTAATATCTCTACTTCTGTTTTCTGTGTTTTAGCTTCAAATCAAAACTTCCTCTATGTAAACTTTCAGCCCATATGTCACAGCAGCAGCAGCTCCGTCTGTGGACTGAGCTGTCATTGCAAACCTTTCAGTGCCAATGCCAACCGCCCCAAAGGGCCCCGCCTCCAAACAACCAGCTGTCAACAGTAAATCCCGCCTTCTCCACAAGCGCCCTATATTGTGTAGTCCACTTCCGGGTCAGAAGTCGTATACACCGCTTGTTGGTAGCGGGGCGAAAGACTACAATTCCCACGAGAGGACAGAAGACGGGAGCTATGCCTCAGCCAATCACGTTACACCACGCTTTTCTACTGGCTAATAGAAATAACATCAGTTCAGCAGAAAATCCACAACATAACAATTTGATTATAACACTTCTATTTGTATGTATTGCTTTCAATAATTATCCTATTTTCATTTTCATTTCTTAAAAATCCTCGAAATAGTCTTCATACGTTTTTGAAAAAACGGAAGTTAGGTAAACCAGGAGTAACGCAGTAAATACATATACATGATTACATAATGTGACAGTCACTTAATGAGTTTCAATGGGACGTGAACAAACACAATCGTTCGCTAGTAATTCTCATTTAGGAGATCGATAAATACATTAAAAGAAAAAAGAGAAACGTCGTTGCTATTTGCCAACCATGTCCGTAGTTTCCGGAATAAATAAAGACTACGTTTGGATTTGATTACTGCTAGAATATATATAAAAAGAGAGCTTTAATGTCACTTTCACACACGAAAAGATATGGAGATGTTTATTTCTTTTTTTCATGAATTTCATATTACAGTCAGAAAACACAGTGTTCTTTTGACAACAGAACAAGAATGATTTGATCCGTCATACACGCAACATAAAATAATTGAGACCAGTAATGTTAATAAATAAAACCTAAACAAATCCTACACCTTTTCTTCCAGGATGGATATTGTTGCTGCTTTACTATCTTTGGTTTATTTTATATTTACAAAATGTTATTTCCTGCATCTCCATTCAATGTGTTTTTGATGTTTTGTGAAGCTACGTTTGTATTTTATTATTGCTAATATATATATATATATATATATATATATATATATATATATATATATAAATAGAGTGACTTTCACACACGAAAAGAGAAGGAGATTGTTGCTGCTATCTTGCATCACACACACTGTGACGTCAAATTAAGATGACAGCAGAAAATGCTAGAATATTTCCTGAATGGAGAGGCTGTGTCGTATTGCCACGTTTAAAGCTTTAGAAAGCAAATACACAACCTTTATATCATCGTTTGACTCTAATACCACACACACACACACACACACACACACACACACACACACACTGTTTCAATGTTACTTACATGGCAGAAGCAGCTCTGGTCCTGGCTGTCTGGAGAAGGAGAAGCTTTGCTCGGTTGCTCGCTTTGCTGCGTTTTGGGTTTTACGCTGCTGTCTTGTTGAAACCAACCCAAACAAACAAAGTTCCCGAATAACAAGGCCAGCAGCAAAACACCAAACGCTAGTATAGTTGCTTTCCACATCATTCACTGTGCTGGCGGTGGGGAAATAAAGAAAAAACAAGTATGACTTCTGTCAGTTGTCCCGTCTATGTGGCGACTTTAGTACCAACGGTCGCTAGCTGAAGTTAGCATCCGCATGCTAACAGTGGCTCTGAAAATAAGAGCGGTTGAGCGAACTGAGCAGCCCGGTGTTTGAAGAGCCTCAGACGGACATTTAGAGGTCCAATTGCCCTGATAGAACCGGAGACATTGATTTAAGATGATACATAACTGGATAAGTTTATGTGTACCAGTTTCCCCCCTTAGCATCAAGTTAGCAAAACAACACAGTGGCTCTACTTCCGGTTAAACATTTTCCAAATAAAATACCTGTGATAGTTAATACGGTACTACATGAAGTTTTAATATTCACTTCAACATAAACTAAAGTACAAAGTTAAACACATACAATACTTTTGGGAAATAATACAATCATCCAAAACACCATAAAAGACCAGAGATTTCAATAAAATGTTGAACTTTTACACAAAAAATTGTTATGTCATCTTTGTGTTTTTTTTACTACTGGTTGAACAAAACAAGAAATCACAAAGATCTTAATTTAGAGGCATTGTAAAGGACGTTGTTCACTGTTGTAAGATGTCTAATAGACACATTATTGAGACAATAATCAGCATGTATATTTTGTATATAGGCTAAGTGTATGTGTGCATTGAGGGTAACAAGAACTGAAAGTTAAATGTTGTAATGTCTACACATACTCTGGCAATAAAGCTGACATTGAATCTGACAATATACCTTGGTTGGTCATTATAAGGATCAGTAATGTGATGCTGACGTTTGATTAGTATTGAGCAAATTGATTGTGAAAACGTTTTATTTTGAAAATGTAGTCTTGTCCTCTAGTTGAGGCTCATGTGTTTCCCTCCTGTGGTCACCAGAGTTAAGATTTACTGAAGAAGAGAACACTCACATACAGAGGTGCTGCAAGAGGAGGAGCAACACAGGTAGCTTCAACGTCGCATTCCTGAAGTAAAACGTATTGTTGTTCGGAGCTGCAGTCAGTCAAGACAGAGGTATTCTGTCTGAAGAAATATTATACTAAGTTCGTCAGGTCTTCTCAACAACTTACTCTAATACTGGTGAGTGCAACTTATAATTAACTGTATTCAACCCGCCTTAACACAAAACTAACAGCTCTATAAAAGCAGGAAGTAACTTTCTGTCAATTTCAGAATGACATGGTTTCACAATGTTGCAATAATCATGCTGTGATATATTTTTTTAAACAAATGATAAGTGATAACTTTTCACTTTATAATACTTTGACTTCTGTTCTCAGACATGTCTTCTGTCAGCTGCCTGCTACATGAAGATCAGTTCCTCTGCTCCATCTGTCTGGATGTGTTCAGGGATCCAGTCAGCACACCATGTGGACACAACTTCTGTAATACCTGCATCATTGACCACTGGAATAGTAATGACAAATACCAGTGTCCTATGTGTAAAGAGGCTTTTGCCACAAGACCAGATTTGAAAGTGAATACTTTACTCTCTGAGATGGTGGCTCAGTTCAGACAGTCGGCTCAACAGAAAGCCAGAAGCAGCAGCAGCAGCAGCAGCAGCTCAGAGCAACAAGTCTTCAAAGCAGGAGAAGTTCCCTGTGACGTCTGCACTGAAACCAAACTGAAGGCCCTGAAGTCCTGCCTGGTGTGTCTGACCTCCTACTGTGAGACTCACCTGGAGCCTCATCTGACAGCTTCAAGCCTGAAAAGACATCAGCTGATCGACCCTGTGGAGAACCTGGAAGACAGGATGTGTCCGAAGCACGATAAACCTCTGGAGCTGTTCTGTAAGACCGACCAGACATTTGTGTGTCTGCTCTGCCATGTTTCAGACCACAAGATGCATGATGTGGTTCCTCTGGAAAAAGAATATGGAGAAAAGAAGGTCAAACTGTGGAAGACAGAGGCGGAAATTGAGCAGATCATCCAGAAAAGACAACTGAAGATTCAGGAGATCACACGGTCAGTCGACCTTGGTAAAGAAGATGCAGACAGACAGGTAGCAGAAGGTGTTCGGGTCTTCACTGCTCTGAAGGAGTCTGTTGAGAGAGGACTAAACAAGCTCATTCAAACAATAGAAGTGAGTCAGGAAATGGCACAGAAACAGGCTGAGGTTTTAATCAAAGAGCTGGAACAGGAAATCTCTGAGCTGAAGAAGAGAAGCTCTGAGGTTGAGCATCTCTTACGCTCTAAAGACTACCTCCATCTTCTCCGAAGCTTCCAGTCCTTTAAATCTGCTCCCCATACAAAGGACTGGACAGAGGTCAGTGTCTGTCAATCATACGAGGGGACAGTAGTAAGAAATGTGCGCCAGCTGGAGGAGACAATCAGTAAAGAGATTTTGAAGCTGCTTCCTGTGGCTGAGCTGAAGAGGGTCCAGAGGTACGCAGTGGATGTGACTCTTGATCCTGATGCAGCACAAGCTGAACTCAGACTGTCTGATGATGGGAAAGAAGTAAATCATTGTGGTGGGAAGAAGAAGAATCTCCCGGACAATCCAGAGAGATTTACTAATCGTACTTTTGTTTTAGGAAAGCAGGGTTTCTCTGCAGGCAAATTCTACTATGAAGTTCAAGTTAAGGGGAAGATCAACTGGGATTTAGGAGTGGTCAGAGAGTCGATCAACAGGAAGGGAGGAATCTCAATGAGCCCTCAGTATGGCTATTGGGCGATATGTTTGAGAAATGGAAATAGGTACAATGCTCATGCGGACCCTCCAGTCAGCCTCTCTCTGAAGTCTGTGCCTCAGAAGGTGGGGGTGTTTGTGGATTATGAGGAGGGTCTGATCTCCTTTTATGACGTAGATGATGCAGCTCTTATCTACTCCTTCACTGGCTGCTCCTTCAACGGGAAACTGTTACCGTTCTTCAGTCCCTGTAATAATGATGGTGGTAAAAACTCTGCACCTCTGATCATCTGTCCTGTCAAGGCCTGACCTTATCATGACTACTTTATAGAACAATAAAAGCATTGACAACGGTACATATAGTCATTAAATGCGTCTTTTACCTTTCATATCCACATTGTAAATGTGTACGAGAAAACATTTCATTGCACAAAAGGAGCAGAAAATAGGATGCCAATGGGTTACAGACATACCAAAAACACAAGCCTGGCTGATCCATTTTTAAATTAAAGTATGTTTTGTTAATTTTTGGTAAGAAATGCTAATGTTTGTGAGGTAATGTGCAGTGATGTGGTCAATAATGAAAAAAGAACACCCCCTATACACGGCTACATACTACATTACATTACTTGTTATTTGTTAGACGCTTTTATCCAAAGCGACTTACATACTCAATACTGTGGGCAATCCCCACAGGAGCAATTTGGGCTGAAGTGTCTCAGGGACACAACGACATGCTGACTGCAGTGGGGTTTGAACCTGTGACCCCCAGATCCCAACACCAAGGCACTATCCACTGCGCAAATAAACCTACAACTTGATTCAGAAAATTCATTTAACATTTTTTATTGATTAAAAAAGATTGGTCAATTTGCGGGCTATTAGCGTAAATTAGAATGTCCAGCTGGACCAATCAGAATTGAGTATTCACCTAAACTGTGGAATAATTAGTATTAATGCACTGTTCTTTATCATTTGTTTTATGAGCTTTCTATTTTTACTGTGTGTCATAAAAGTTACGTTTTTTCTTACTGTTAAAACTGTCAATTTGTTTTTAAATGTAATACTTCTTAGAGACAACATCTTTTTTTTAGTGGTTTCTGTTTTGCTCCACAATGTAGTGATAATTATGAATTGTTTACTTTGTGAATCACTGGACTGGGGATGCACTGATATGCGGTTATTTTAGTTAGATCTTAGTTATTGGTATGAATGTTATTTAGCTCTGGGAACTGTTCTGTTAATCTCTTTGGATGTTAATATACGCCATGTCTTTATTCAACTTTTATAGAAAAACTTTGATAACATGCAAGCCTTGTCACAAAACCATGAACAGTGTTGGTATTGGTAAACAACCACGTGCCTTCACAACAACAATACAGATAATTATTGAGTATGTGAGGGAGAATCTCATACTCAACTGAAAATGAGAAAGAGCTACTAAATCAAACAATATACAATGTAATGATTATGAATCATTTCTACTATATTTCTAGTTTTGTATCTATTTGTCTTTTTTTAATAAAATGTTTTATATGAAGCATTATGGATGATTGTTCAGTCTTTGCTTGAATAACATATGTACCAGATAATATAGATTTTTAATGGTTTCCTAACATCTATGATATATGTTTTTAAACCTCTTTCATGCTGTTGTGTTAGTGACTATAACAGATGCTATGAATTGAAATAAAAACAGACTTTGTGATCTTTAAAATCTGCTCTGGTGAAGTCAAATAAATCATTTGTGGAAGTGTTTAACTTTGAAACTGAACTCCTGGTCTCTATGCCACAGAGGTGTTCTCAGTGTGGATGTGTTTACCTTGCTTTGGCCACTAGATATCAGCATTACATCACACATAGAGAGAAGAGTTTGTTAAAGGCTTTCACAGACTGCACACAAGACTACTTCCTGGTATGATTGAGCAACAACTACAGAAAAAGGCAAACAAAAGAAGGAGACGAAACGGCTAAACATTGCAGGGAAAACAGTGAGCTCGACTTTGCACTGAGCTGAAGAGCACTGTTGGTCTTTTCTGAATCTAAGATATATATATATTTGTTTAGACAACCGTCCTAGTGGCTTTAAGAAAATATGTTAAAAGTATTTCTAAATGTTAAACCTATCTTGTGCCCAGATGTCTGTAACTTTAATCCTGACTAACCCTGAAGGAGAAACACAGAGCTGCTCTAAGAGGAGGAGCAACACTGGAGGGAGGAGAGCTGTAACGTCACTTTCCATAAATGAAACGTATCGTTTGTCAGAGCTGCAGAGACACGTCTCTGGATTTTCTGTCTGAAGAAAGATTAAACTGAGTTTGTCAGTTCATTCTCAGCACTTTACTCAAATATGGGTGAGTCCAGCTGATCATATTTTCTGAGTTTAAACAACCAGGATTAACACAAAACGGACAGCTATAAACAAACAGGAAGTTAAACTAGAGAATGCAATTCCTGAAGAAATTGCTAGTGGGAATGCTTAATGCTGAAAAGCTGACGCTGAATTGCTATTCTGAAATGTAATGTGTAAGAAGAAAGTGAAGAATTTAGATTGAAATGATACATGAATACAGGGGGCTTGAATGTGTGATGAGAGAAGAAAATAAAATAAAAAAGCAGCAGAATATTTGAACTGCAAACTATTGAACTAACTTGATGACGAATGATCTGTCGCCATGGCAACGGTATTTGATGACACCCCATAATACGCTTAGATGTTTTGATGGCTGCATCGTTACCAAACCTGTGAAGTTTTGGGGCGTTTGGAGCATTTTCACTGAAGTTATGAGAAAACCGTATATCATAGCGAGCATTGTGTTGCCATGGCAACGACATTTGAAGACATTTCAAAACTGTCACGTAGATGTCTTCACGGCTGGACTGTTAGCACACGTGAAGTTTGAGCACTTTTTGACAATTTTCATAGGAGTTATAGCAATATCGTGTTTTACGTCGAGGGATGTGTTGCCATGGCAACAGCTTTTGAGGAAAACTCACTAATGGCACATAGACATGTTGAGGGCTGGACCATTAAATGTCAACTGAAGTCTGGTGGTGTTTTGACCATTTGCATATCAAGGTTCAAGGTTCTTTATTTGTCATACGAACATAGCTACAGAGTAGTTATGTCGATGAAAATCTTAGGTCACAGGCTTCTCCAACAGTGCAACACAAAAATACAGAAGAACAGAAAAATATAGTGCAAGTAAATATTAAAAAGTAAATACAAGAAGAAAAATTGTTTAAAAAAAGTGAAATAGTGAAATAAGAGTCTATATGCAAGCTATTGGAATGATATTAGATAAATAGATAAATAATTACTAAGTAGCAGATGAATGTTATGGATGTTGTTACAACAGTTCAGGTGTTTAACAGTCTTATTGCCAGTGGGATGAAACTGTCTCTGAATCTGGTGGTTTTTGTCCGGATGCTGCGGTAACGCCTGCCAGACGGCAGCAGACTGAACAGTTTGTGGCTGGGGTGATGGGGGTCACATCGTGTTTTTTGGCGAGGGATGCGTTTCCATAGAAACAGCCTATGGTGAGATCTCAGATTTGGCGTAGAGCTGTTGATGCATGGACCGGTGATATACAAGCGAAGTTTGGGGCACGATCGAACCGTGTCCATTGGAGTTACAGCGACATCTTGTTTTATGGCGAGGGATGCGTTTCCATAGAAACTTCATTATCTGAAGTCTGCTGCTCTGAGCATGTCAGTTGGAGTTATAACATCATCGTGTTCCACGACACAGGTGTTTATATTTGGCTAACGACGTGTCCAGAGATCAAAGGTTTCCATGGTGATATGCAGTAATCAGTGAGAGGAGAGCATTTTCATTGTTCTGAATGAGAGATAAACCTCTTACATGTGAAAGTTTTGTTGAAGAACCGTAACAGATATCGGTACAATTTCAAAGCGTGAAGCATGTCAAGGAACTTGAGCATCTGAAGTGTGCTTTTTGTGTACTTTCGGGTTAATAATGTGGCCTTTTTGGCAGATTAACTAAAGGTGTGTGGCCGCTGTGGTGGGGAAAGATGAGGCTGAACTTACATTGGAGTTTGAAAGTTGTTGTCACTTCATGCCCTCAAGAGGCATTTTGTTTAATTATTTTGCTTAATTTTTATTTTTCAATCTACGAGATGTTTCCCTACGTTTCTCATGAAAAATGATGTCTCAGGAATGTAGGGTTTGGGAATTATGGCAGGTTTAGAAGAAAATATGAAGGCAAAATTAAATCTGTCCTCCACTCTAGCTGTGACATCACGCACTCTAAAATCTGAAGAAGGCCTCTTTACCAAGGTCTGAACAATGTTTAATATCTCTAAAAGTACGAATCAGATTTAAAAATTGTGTTAGACTAATAATGTCAGAAAGATGTGTAACATTTTAAAGTTGGAATGAGGTTTCTGAGTGAAAGTATGAAGGAGCAGTTAGCAGTTGAAGTCGCATGAAGATTGTTGAAGTCTGATGAGTTTCTCCATTGACTTCCATGTTAAAAATGTGATGAATTATGGGATATATCTCTGGAATTATGAAAGTTATGAATGAGAAAAGTAATAGCCATCGATTCCCGACCGAGCTGAACATTTTGATGTTCGAACAGAGTTTCTGCGATGTGGAAGAAGAAGACGTGCAAAATAACCCGGCGGAATAATAAATAATTCCGTGCGTCGAATAACATATAGTTGGAATGCTGTATCAGCATTCCCACTAAATCAGTTGAAGTAACTTTTCAGTTGAGTTAAAAAATACATACAAAGTTATTTTTAATGCAGTAATCATACGTTATTCGTTAGACAGATTTGACTTTGACTGTCAAATATGTATGCTTTTGGGTTTTTTCCTTTCCTGTAGTGTGTTCCCTCCAGAGGGAGTTTCTCTCCCACACACTCCCCCACTGCCTGAAACGCCTCCATTGGACTTGTTTGTTTGATTCCTGATCATAGTGACATCACATGTAACATTCGCATCTCTATTGGCTAGAGCTCCATCACATTGTGCGTGATAGGCTAAGGGGCGGGACATCTCTAAGCGGTTGACCAATCACAACAGAGTCGGCCAGCTAACCAATCAGAGCAGACTGGACTCTGGTTTCAGACAGAGGGTGAAAAGAGGCAGTATAAGAAAAATAAAGAGCTTTTTGAACATTAAAGCATGGAGACATGTCGCAGAGGCATAAAATACAATTATAAAACGTTACAATTAGCATAATATGTCTTCTTTAATAATACTTTGACTTTTGTTCTCAGACATGTCTTCTGTCAGCTGCCTGCTATCCGAAGAGCAGTTTCGGTGCGCCATCTGTCTGGATGTGTTCAGGGATCCAGTCAGCACACCATGTGGACACAACTTCTGCAAAACCTGCATCACTGCACACTGGGATACTAATAACAGATACATTTGTCCCCTGTGTAATGAGGGTTTTGAAAAAAGACCTTTTTTGAGGGTCAACACTTTGTTCTCTGAGATGGTTGGTGAGTTCAGACAGTCGGCTCAACAGAAAGCCAACCGCAAACGGTCACAGCAACAATCGTTCAAACCAGTAAACGTTTCCTGTGACTTTTGCACTGGAACCAAACTGAAGGCCCTGAAGTCATGCCTGGTGTGTCTGGCCTCCTACTGTGAGACTCACCTGGAGCCTCATTTAAATGTGTCAGGTCTGAAAAGACATCAGCTGATCGACCCTGTGGAGAACCTGGAAGACAGGATGTGTCCGAAGCACGATAAACCTCTGGAGCTGTTCTGTAAGACCGACCAGACATTTGTCTGTCTGCTCTGCTCTGCTTTAGACCACAAGATGCATGAGTTTGTTCCTCTGAAATATGAATGTGAAGACAAGAAGGTTGAGCTGGTGAAGACAGAGGCTACAATTCAGGACATGATCCAGAAGAGACGAGTAAAGATTGAGGCGATCAAACACTCAGTAAAGCGAAGTACAGAAAATGCGAAAATGAAGCTATCAGAAGGTGTTCAGGTCTTCACTTCTCTGAACAATTTGCTTGAGAGAGGCCTGAATGAGCTCTACAAAACAATAGGAGAGAAGGTGACAGCAACACAGAAACAGGTTGAAGGCCTCATCAAAGAGCTGGAACAGGAAATATCAGATCTGAAGAAGAGAAACACTGACGTGGGGCAAGTCACACGCTCAGAAGACCACCTCCATGTTCTCCGAAGCTTCCCGTTACTGAAAGCTGTTCCACCCACAAAGGACTGGACAAAGATCAACGTCCATGTACCTTCATATGAGAAAACTGTGGAGGGGGCCTTGATCCAGCTGGAGGAGACCCTTGATAAAGAGATGAAGAAGCTGCTCGGTGAGGCTGAGCTGAAGAGGGTCCAGAAGTACGCAGTGGATGTGACTCTTGATCCTGATACAGCACATCCTGAACTCATCCTGTCTCCTGATAGGAAACAAGTGAGTCATGGTGATTTAAAGAAGAATCTTCCAGACAACCTACAGAGATTTTCTCATTATAATTTTGTTTTGGGAAGGCAGAGTTTCTCTTCAGGCAGATTTTACTACGAGGTTCATGTTCAAGGGAAGCCTAAATGGAATATAGGAGTGGCCAGAGAGTCGATCAACAGGAAGGGAGAGTTCAACATGAGGCTTCAGGACGGTTACTGGACTATATGTTTGAGAAATGGAAATGAGTACAAAGCTCTTGATTCTCCGTCAGTCAGTCTCTCTCTGAAGTCTCAGCCTCAGAAGGTGGGGGTGTTTGTGGATTATGAGGAGGGTCTGGTCTCCTTTTATGACGTAGATACTGCAGCTCTTATCTACTCCTTTACTGGCTGCTGCTTCACTGAGAATCTCTACCCAATATTAAGTCCCTGTAGTAATGATGGAGGCAATAATGCTGCCCCTCTGTTCATCGTCAGACCTACTGTCAATCAAACCGCCTGATCTTTGAGATCAGCATGTTGAGCAATGCAAATAAAGCATTGCCAACAATATTTGTACATAGTGTGTATATATATATATATATATATATATATATATACATAAACATGCCAGACAAAATGTTCATACTAAAATGGGCATAGTGGTCAATGCTAGTATACCAATGTGTTATAGAAAAAAGTGCATATTCAGTTGAAATGTTATCTGAATTTGATTTACCATTTGTGTTCTAAACTTAAATATTTTTCCTTCATATTTGGTTAGAAAATTAACAAAAAAAAGGTTACTTTTAAAAAAGGTGCTTTTGTTTGACTTGTTATAATTTGAAGGCTTCTTGAAGAGAAACCGTATTTGAGCAGTGTTTTTTATTATGCAGGACAATGTAGTGAGAATTAACATCGATGTATTGCTGGACTGGGGATGCAATTGTTCTGTATATTTTATTTTGAAGCATTATGGATGATTGTTCAGTCTTTGCTTGAATAACATATGTACCAGATAACATCGATTTGTAATGGTTTCCTAACATCCATGGTATATTTTTTTAAAGAAGTGACCTCAAGTCATCAACCTCTTTCGTGCTGTTGTGTTAGTGACTATAACCAATGCTATGAATTGAAATAAAAACAGACTTTGTGATCATTAAATCTCTGGTGAAGTACAAATAAATCATTTGTGGAATTGTTTTACTTTGAAACTGAACTCCTTGGCCCTTTCTCATTTCATCAAATCGCCCTCCTCGACTCTTCGGTCCTCCGGTAGTGACCCGGAAATGAATTTCAGCGCGCCATGTTGAAGGACATCTCATTTCTCTAAATGCACTTCGAGGACCGATGATCGAGCGTCGAGGAGGCTCTCTGGAGGAGCTCTAACCGCGGATACACTGATGGGTCCTCCACGGCTCCTTCGTGGATGCATTTCCGGCAACAGAGATGTGACGCACGGCCGGACTTATCTCAGCCAATGACAGCTCTGCATGCATCCCCTGGATATTATTTTATTAACTGCTTTCATCGCGACGCGATGTTTACATCACACATACACTCTAAAAACAAATGCCTTGGCTCAACAAAGAAAATCAACGCAACAGTTTGCATCAATGTTTATTGAGTTATGACAACTTCTAATGAAATTGTGTTAAACCAACAAACTTATGAGTTAGGGGAGAAGGCTTTTCCTCTACAATCAGAGGTGTTTTTAATGACCACTTACTTAATAATTGGTAGCATAAACACAAGTTGATTACTCCAAAGATCAAGTTGTTCCAACTAGTTTTACCACATTATTTAAAAGGAATTTTAAGTTGTATGTACTTAATTACCATCATTGTGAACACACGTTTTTAAGTTGACAAACATTTATAAATTAAGTTGCTCCAAATATATTGTTTTCAATATTTTTTTTTCTTAGCTTTTTCATGTTTTTGCCTTTAAAGAAAGAAATTAATTAATTCCACAACAAAAATATTAGGCAATTCACTTTTTTATTTTGAACTGCAGTTGTTTATTTCAACACATGTTGTTTTAATCAGGAGAGACTTCATTTTGTTTGAACATTTATTGACACATGTCATATGATAAATGTTAAGTCTTTGGTGATTAGACCCCGATCCTGAAATCGTATATCCCCCGGGGTCTAGACACTGGTGATGATGCTGAGGATCTGGATTTGATGAGGAGATGGGATGAAGAGGAGGTGTGATGAGGTCTTTGGATTAGCTCTCCTGGCTCTGGATATGATGAAAGGAGGTGGATGGGGAGGAGGCGGGCGGCAGCATGAAAACCTGAAATCACAGCTGACTGCAGGAGAGAGGAGAACCATTTTATAGTTTGGCTGCAGCACGGTGATTGGCTGCTGGAGAATGAGGTGAAATGTAATAGGTTAAAGAGAACGCCTGTGATGAGCTGATTATAGCTGCGGAGTGAATGTATACCAGTCTTCCTGAAAGAACTTGCGCTGCGCTTCATTTACATTTTGAGAAAAAAAGAGAAATAACACAAATTTAAATGGCCCCACAAATAATAAATAAACACATTAGCCATATTACCATGGGACATGGGGACACAGCAAATAAATGCTGCCATCACATCGAAGTTAGAGGCCTTTGCATATTTAAAACCAGTGCCAAATGTGTAACATCTGTAAAGTTTTTGTAAAACTACAGAAACAAACTCTCAATGGCCACCAATCTGCAGATCACACACATCCATGTTACAAAAGATGTAACAAAGATGTTTACACTGCCGACAGTCATTATCTCAAACAGTGTGAACACATTTAACGCAGAATGCTCATTCATTTGTTTCCCTCGACCACGATGGTTGCCATCGTATGGTCAGATCCTGGGGTGGACCGGTCACTGATGAAGGCGATATTCATGTCCTTTTGAAGCACATTAAATAATAGGTTAGCGCATAAGAGATAATGAATTAGGTAACTGCATACTTTTTAAACTGTCACTCTTAGCTAATTCAGAGCCATTATTACCAGCTGCTAAAGCAACGCTGGTATTGTTTTCACCTATTGAGTCTGCATGTGTGTGTCGTCATGGCAATGTGGTCCTGAAGACACACAGAGGTGCTTTTGAGTACTTTGCCTAGTGTTTAAATGCATGTGGACAGATTTTGTCAATCACAACCGTGCAAGTTTTAGTGTATCTTCTCTTTTTTGCAGGTTCCATACAATACTTGAACTGGTTAAGTGAAGAGCAGAAGCCACTTTTCAAATGTTACACAATCCTTTTCCCATGCCATTGCTGTCAACACCTATCCATGCTGAACGTTGCTAAGATATTATTGATTGGGGTGTGGCCAAAAGTGCTTCAAAATGTAATTGACAGAGAGCAGTGCTTTTATCCTGTGCCATGGATTTTATGTTATTTCAAGATTTTTAATTACGCCGCTAAACTCCTTGAAAAGGTCCTCTTCCTTTTCTCCAAGGTACACGACAAGGCAGCGGATGCCTAAAGTTCTCTGCATACTTCAATTGTATTGTGCTATTTTTGAAAAAGGGACAAAAAGAGAAATAACCTAAATTAATATATTCTGAATGGGTGACTGCCAACAATTTGCATTTCAATGACAACTCTAAATAACGATCCTACCTCAAGAAGCATGTCCTTGATCTGCTTCACCGAGATTTTTTTTTTAATAAAAAGTTATAACACAATAGTAACTAAAGTATTTTTACTCTCACAGCAGCCTCTAGTACTTTGTATCCTCTCAAAGAACTATCCACAGTTCAAAGGCTGCTAATTTTGGTCAAACAGCAATTTGCCTACAGTGCAACTACAAGGCTATCTATTTGAATGACACAAGATGACACTCACCTTAAAAATGTTCTTTGTATATTATTTCTATTTGTCTTAACTGCCGGAACTTGTCCAGGCATGTTAAGTGGGAATGGACTTGAAATCCTTAACTCAAAGTGTAGAACAATTAAGTTATCAAGCCAATTGCATTACTTACTACAACTTGAATTTAGTTTTAAGTCAATTAACGCAGAAATCCGAGTTTAAATTACACACAATATTAAGTTGATGTAATTACATTACATTGCATTTACCTGACACTTTTATCCAAAGCGACTTACAATAAGTGCATTCGACCAACAAGATACAAACTTGAAGAAAACAGAATCATATAAGTACATCAGGTTTCATTTCATTTCATTTCAAACCTTTATTTAATCAGATTGGTCCCATTGAGATCATAGATCTCTTTTTCAAGGGAGACCTGCAGCATATAGGTTCCAGATGAAACATAAAGGACATCATACATTATATTTACAGGATACATTTACATAGTTATAGACATTTACAAGTGCCCATAGTATCAACAAGCATTTCATTTAGCCTAGCTTTAAAAACATGCAGAGGAATGAGATTGCTCAGTTTCAATTCTTGCTGAAGATTGTTCCAAGCAAGTGGAGCTGCGCACATAAAAGCTGTCTTACCTAAGACAGTCCTTGCTCTTGGCACATCTAACAATACTACATCATGCGAACTCAGACAATAGCTGCTTGCAACTCTCTGTGTTATCAGAGAGCAGATATAATACGGGAGTTTACCCAACAAAGCTTTATAAATAAACGTGTACCAATGACTGAGCCTCTTTACTGTAAGTGATGGCAAACCTGCCTTGGTATACAGGGTACAGTGATGAGTAAGTGCTTTACAATTTGTGACAAATCTCAGTGCGCTGTGATAGGCGGCATCTAACTTGTTCAGGCAATAGGCAGGTGCATTCATATACAACAAATCACCATAGTCCAGCACAGGTAAAAAGGTCACAGTGACTAGCCTTTTCCTGGCTTCAAATGAGAAACAGGACTTGCTTCTGAAAAAGAAACCTAGTCTAACCCTCAGCTTTTTAAGCAGGTTATTGACATGAAGTTTAAAAGTAAGACAATCATCAAGCCAGATACCCAGGTATTTGTAACTGGTAACCACTTCAAGTACTTGTCCTTGCATAGTAACAATATCCAAAACAGGCTCTGGTGTCTTTTTAGCTTTTGAAAATAGCATTACCTTGGTTTTATCAACATTTAAAATAAGCTTAAGTTCAGCAAGCTGAGTCTGAATAATGTTAAAAACAGCCTGTAATTTAACACCAGCCTCCTTAATGGAGGGAGCTGCACAATACATCACGGTATCATCAGCATAAAAATGTAAAGTAGCTTCATCCACATTTTCACCTAAACTTAGATTTCATAGAGCTAACACATTTCAAGTGCTCAACTGGCTTTAGATAAGCCAGTCCTTTATTAGTATATAAGTGCTTTGTTAGCAATTCTAGTAATTACCAGCATTATTACGTCAACACAACTTATAAATTAATGTTTGCAACTTAAAACTTTTTAGAGTGTAGAGAGAAGAGTTTGTTAAAGGCGTTTACAGACTGCACACAAGACTACTTCCTGGTATGATTGAGCAACAACTACAGAAAAAGGCAAACAAAAGAATGACACGAAACGGCTAAACAGTGAGCTTGACTTTGCACTGAGCTGAAGAGCACTGTTGGTCTTTTCTGAATCTAAGATTTTTTTTTTTTTGAGACAACCGTCCTAGACCTAGTGGCTTTAAGAAAATATGTTAAAAGTATTTCTAAATGTTAAACCTATCTTGTGCCCAGATGTCTGTAGCTTTAATCCTGACTAACCCTGAAGGAGAAACACAGAGCTGCTCTAAGAGGAGGAGCAACACTGGAGGGAGGAGAGCTGTAACGTCACTTTCCTTAAATGAAACTTATCGTTTGTCAGAGCTGCAGTGGAGACACGTCTCTGGATTTTCTGTCCGAAGGAAGATTAAACTGTTTGTCAGTTATTTCTCAGCACTTTACTCAAATACTGGTGAGTACAGCTCATAATATTTACTGAGATTAAACAACCAGGATTAACACAAAACGTACAGCTATAAACAAACAGGAAGTTACATCAGTTGAAGTAACTTTTCAGTTGAGTTAAAAATACCTACAAAATTATTTTTAATGAATAATCATACTTTATTCGTTATACAGATTTGACTTTGACTTGAAATATGTGTGTAACAAAATATTTAAATGAGGCCCTAATATGGTTTTGGGTTTTTCCTTTCCTGTAGTGTGTCATATAGGCATAGGTTTGTGTGCATTTAAATGGTCTGCTAAGGTTAAAGTCCCTGTGTTCCCTCCAGAGGGAGTTTCTCTACCACACTGTGTGGGCAACACATTCTCACTCCCAACTCGTACTATAGTGACGCTATGTCAGGATCGCTTGGCGACACTATCAAACGCAGTGGGGGGCCCTATAGCGTAGATTTTCAACTACCAGGGAGTCCCATTGACTTCCATAGAGCTCCCTGAATGTTGGTAATTGAAGAGTTGGGATCGCGGAGAAATGCTCTCCACAGACCAATTCTCACAGCGTTTATCAACCTTTTTCTTACTCAATATCAAGCCACACAGGGACGTGCACAGACATTTTGGAGGGCAGGAGCTCAAGTGAGAAAAAGGGCACTTCCCATAATCATTTATTTAAAAAAAATGTAAAGGTCCCATGTCATGCTTTTCCGGTTATTACCCGTCCCCTTGTGTGTTATGTAGCTTTTTCTGCATGTAAACGGTCTGCAAAGTCTACAAACAGCAGCCAAGGCTACAGGTGCGTGTGCTCAGTCAGGACAGTATGGACCAGAGGTGGGGACTCGAGTCACACGACTTGACTCGAGTCAGACTCGAGTCGCATATTTTTGGACTTGAGACTTGCTTGACTAACATTGATAAAAGACTTGACTTGACTTGGTATTCATGACTTGAGACTTGACTTAAGCTTGAGACAGATGACTTGAAAGGACTTGACTTTTTAAAATTAAATATTTGCGTTTGTTTTTGTATTGAGATATTACGTTTAGTTTTTTCGAAATGTGATTATAGCGCTATGCGCGCAAACCTGGCAACCCACTAGTAGGCAGGAGTGTCAGCTAACATGGCAGCGGCTAGCGTTACTCCAAAAATAGTCAAGTTTGGATTCAAGGATTAGGTTGTCGATGACGCTAATAAGAAGAAAACAGTGGTATTCAGGGTCTGCAGCATTAAGATCAGTGACACGACCACCACAACATCCAACTTCATTCGTCACTACAAAAAAACCCCACAGAGAAAGGTACGTGCATGTGTTGTGTTAGCTAGAAAGCTAACGTTAAGTTTAAGCTACGTTAGACTTGGTTTCAAATCTATTAAGCATTGCAAAGAGAAGACAAAATGGTAAATTAACACTAGAACCGCCAAGGGATTCATTTTGACTAACCCTGATAGTGACGGGCTGTCAGGAGAGAGAGAGAGAGAGAGAGAGAGAGAGAGAGAGAGAGAGAGAGAGAGAGAGAGAGAGAGAGAGAGAGAGAGAGATGCCTCGTTTATTTCCCCTGTGTTATCAGAAGTTACTGTACACTGTTGAATAATGTAGTTCATCTACTTTTAGTAGTTTGTTTGAATGTTGTTTTTGTTTGTAGAAGTGCATCATTCCTTGATTTATTGTAAAATGAATCTGAACTTTTTGATCTGTTATGATGATAAACTGAAGCAATTTCAAAATTAACCCAATTAAGTGAGTTTTAAATCGTCCTACTTAGTTTATAAGGAAATTATGAAGAGGAACAAATTAAATGATTTGAAAATGATATCTATGTAGGCGCTGACGCTGTTGGCGGTTCTAGTGTTAACATACATTTAAATTAAATATGTGTAATGGCAAATGCCATATATGATTTTCTTATCTGGAATTCTGCCTTTTTGAACAGACTTTTTGATTGAGTCCTAGTTATATTGTCTGCAGTTCTGGGTTAATATGAATCTAATATGATTGTCATCGGTCTAAATTAGATTTCAAATGATTAACTGTGTATGTAATGAAGATCATAGTGTGGGTTGAATCCATTTTCATAACCACTGTCTTTTAACTGATTTAAATGCGGAAACTGGGCTTATTCATCAGAATTTTGTATGACTTGACTTGACTTGCTTGACCTGAGCAATGACTTGACTTGACTTGCTTGACCTGAGCAATGACTTGACTTGACTTGCTTGACTCTCATCAGAGTGACTTGGGACTTGCTTGATACTTCTAGGTCAAGACTTGAGACTTGCACATGACTTGCACATGTAGGACTTACTCCCACCTCTGGTATGAACTGATAAACTGGGTCAAAGTTATGGGCCTTGGAAAATATTTCCCCAACAAATGGGACTCCGATAGGTGAAAATCGACGCTATAGGGCACCCCACTGCATTTGATAGTTACGTCGCCAAGGGATCCTGACATAACGTCACTATAGGAGGAGTTGGAGTGAGAATGTGTTGCCCCCCCCCTCCCCTGCCTGTAACTCCTCCATTGGACTTATTTGTTTAATTCCTGAACATAGTGACATCACAATGTAAGACTCGCACCTCTATTGCCTCTAGTACATCTCTAAGTGGTTGACCAATCACATCAGAGCCGGCCATATAACCAATCAGAGCAGACTGGGCTCTGGTTTCAGACAGAGGGCAGTATGAGAAAAATAAAGAGCTTTTTGAACATTAAAGCATGTAAACATGTCAAAGTAGAGGCATACAATACAATTATAAAACTATGATAACATTTGCATAATATGTCTTCTTTAATAATACTTTGACTTTCTCAGACATGTCTTCTGTCAGCTGTCTGCTATCCGAAGAGCAGTTTCAGTGCTCCATCTGTCTGGATTTGTTCAGGGATCCAGTCAGCACACCATGTGGACACAACTTCTGCAAAACCTGCATCACTGACCACTGGAAAATTAATTACAGATGTCCCCTGTGTAATGAGGGTTTTCAAAAAATACCTTTGTTGAGGGTCAACACTTTACTCTCTGAGATGGTTGGTGAGTTCAGAAAGTCGGCTCAACAGAAAGCCAACCGCAAACGGTCACAGCAACAATCGTTCACACCAGTAAACGTTTCCTGTGACTTTTGCACTGGAACCAAACTGAAGGCCCTGAAGTCCTGCCTGGTGTGTCTGGCCTCCTACTGTGAGACTCACCTGGAGCCTCATTTAAATGTGTCAGGTCTGAAAAGACATCAGCTGATCGACCCTGTGGAGAACCTGGAAGACAGGATGTGTCCGACGCACGATAAACCTCTGGAGCTGTTCTGTAAGACCGACCAGACATTTGTCTGTCTGCACTGCTCTGCTTTAGACCACAAGATGCATGAGTTTGTTCCTCTGAAATATGAATGTGAAGAAAAGAAAGTTGAGCTGGTGAAGACAGAGGCTACAATTCAGGAGATGATCCATAAGAGAGGAGTAAAGATTGAGGCGATCAAACACTCAGTAAAGTGTAGTACAGAAAATGCGCAAATGGAGCTATCAGAAGGTGTTCAGGTCTTCACTTCTCTGAACAATTTGCTTGAGAGAGGCCTGAATGAGCTCTACAAAACAATAGGAGAGAAGGTGACAGCAACACAGAAACAGGCTGAAGGCCTCATCAAAGAGCTGGAACAGGAAATATCCGATCTGAAGAAGAGAAACACTGACGTGGGGCAAGTCACACGCTCAGAAGACCACCTCCATGTTCTCCGAAGCTTCCCGTTACTGAAAGCTGTTCCACCCACAAAGGACTGGACAAAGATCAACGTCCATGTACCTTCATATGAGAAAACTGTGGAGGGGGCCTTGATCCAGCTGGAGGAGACCCTTGATAAAGAGATGAAGAAGCTGCTCGGTGAGGCTGAGCTGAAGAGGGTCCAGAAGTACGCAGTGGATGTGACTCTTGATCCTGATACAGCACACCCTGAACTCATCCTGTCTCCTGATAGGAAACAAGTGAGTCATGGTGATGTAAAGAAGAATCTTCCAGACAACCTACAGAGATTTTCTCATTATAATTTTGTTTTGGGAAGGCAGAGTTTCTCTTCAGGCAGATTTTACTCCGAGGTTCATGTTCAAGGGAAGCCTAAATGGAATTTAGGAGTGGCCAGAGAATCGATCAACAGGAAGGGAGAGTTCACTGGACTGTTTAAAAAATAGCAACATTTCCTTTCAGAAAAAGTGTGATTTCTAGTTTGAATTATCCAAACAAACAACCTTGTAAAAAAAAAGTCTAGTCTTCATCCAGAAGAGATTGTATTTATATTCTGGGCATCTCGTTTTAAATCTTTTATCTCACTAATTATTGACCTTTGTCTCTATGGAGGTAAAACAATAAAGGTCCATTTCTTTAGTCATAATATTTGGAGAAAATAATCCAGGATTTTTACAACAAACCTTGTTTATGAGCCTCATTTGAACAATATCTCAGCTCAAAGTCCAGCAGGAACCAACCACGTTTTTTTACCGGTTCAAAAGTTAATAGTGCTGTGTCACTCCTGTCTCAACATCTGAGGGAATTTAAATCAGTTTGATTTTGTGGAATAATTAGGATTCTTGCGCTTACTTAATTGTACTTTGGTATGGCATCAGAGGAAAAACTGTTTTACTTGTTGCATCAGTCAATAAAATAAAAAATCTCACATTTAATATAGAGAGGAAGTCCCGCCCTTCTACTTCCGCCCCATGGGACCTTATTTTGGAAAAATTATGTATTGAAGTCAATGGAGAGAGAAAGATTATCTTTCGATCCCGTTTGAATTGTGCCACGAATTACACATATGATGTTTGTCAATCTTAAAAAATCATTTCCATGTCAAAAAAGTCACAGTTTGAGGTAAAACTGTTGAAATATAAGACTATGAAAAATACGCAACTAGAAAGACTACAAATCCCAGAGTCGATAAGTGATGTCATTAACGTTACACATTACACTCGTGTTACTCACCGAAACCTTGTAAAGCCGGTCCCGCATGCTGGCTCTTACGGAACCGACTAACTCCCCTTTAGTGTATGCACAGCTCTCAACGTGCCCAGACTTGGAGTGATTTTCACCTCTTTTAATACTTTTTGCCTCATTCTGAAAGAAAGAAGTGAAATGTGCCAACGTGACGGCCATCTTGGTGTTGGTGACGTGTGCGAGACCAGAGTTGTAGTTCATTGAGCGTTTCACACAAAAAAAAGTATTACTTCACAGACACATTTTAATTTTTTTGACTTGCAAAATTATCTTTTAAATTGACAAACATCATATGTGTAATTCGTGGCACAATTCAAACGGGATCAAAAGATAATCTTTCTCTCTCCATTGACTTCAATACATACTTTTTCTGAAATAAGGTCCCATGGAGGTCCCTCGGAAGGGGAGGGACTTCGCCTCTCTATTCAGTGGTGTTCTCAGGGGATGTTATACGGTTACTAATGGTCTTTCTCCTCAATGTCTTTGTCTGTAACAATGTGTGTTTCCTTGTAAAATAATAATTATGTTGCTCGGCTACGAAGAGAAATTGAAACAGAAAGGAGTGACATCTGGTGGTGATCATTTATAAAGGTTGCCGTTTACATGATGCTTGGATAATAACTGTGTTGTGTGTGTGTGTGTGTGTGTGTGTGTGTGTGTGTGTGTGTGTGTGTGTGTGTGTGTGTGTGTGTGTGTGTGTGTGTGTGTGTGTGTGTGTGTGTGTGTGTGTGTGTGTGTGTGTGTGTAGCCGCCTCCTGCAGAAGGTTTCTCTGACCTTCGCCTGAAGCAGAGGAAGAAGGAGCTGCAGTCAAAGACTGACGACATCGCTAAACAGCTGCAAAAGGCGCAGGACCAATGGTGACAACATCACTATCATCCACTGCATGTTGTTGTGTGATCAGATGATATTGTTTGGGGCAGCATAGATTGTTGTTGTATCACAATTCATTAGTTTTAATTTGCCCTTATTTTGTTTGGGTTTTTCCAAACATTTAAATACTTTCTTTAGTGGTCACCTCAGTTAGTTAGTTTGAAGCTTTTGGATTTACTTTAAAGGGGGGGGGGGCTATTAGGTTGTTGGGGGTTGTCTCTTTCCTTTAGTGTGTTATACAGGTTTTTTTGCATGTAAATGGTCTGCAAAGGCAGAAATACAGAAAACAGTGATGTATTTTTTGGACAAAAGTGTGCTCCTAATTTGGGAACACCCTTTCCTTTTCCCCTGTATGACAAAGCCAGGTCCATAAAGAAATGGTTTTCCCAGTTTGGTGTGGGAGAACTTAACTGGTCCACGTAAAGCCTTGACCTCCAACATATTTGGTATTCATTATAATTGCAAACCAGGCCTTGTCGCCCATCATCAGTACCTCACCTCGCTTCTATCATAGAGCTGTACAAAGTCTCCCTTCAGCAAGTCTCCTAGCTTTAAAAAATGCGTCCCTCCTGTTTTTTCATAATTTATGCTACACAGGAGAGAAACTTTCTTAATGAGTGTTCACATTTCCAAAATAATAACACTTTTCCTCCGCATTTTGCCCTCAGTGAGGATCTGAAGAAAATGTTACAATCTAACACGTTCTAATAACCTGTTCTAATAACTGATGTCATAGGTCTTAAAACACAATCAAAATATGCATGCAGGACAAGTTCTTCCCTTAGACGCTGCTATCGCTACAGTGGCTAAACTGATATTTGCCATTCAAACTTGAAAACATAGATCTCACTTCATTCATTTGCATTTTGAATTGATAACTCTTACCATTTTATATAAATAACATGGAGCACTGGTAATGACCCTGCTGTTCCCCAATGTTTCCAATCTGTATGCTAAGCTAAGCTAGCCCAGCTGCTGGATGTAGCTTTATATTTACTTAACAGATATTGGAGAGCGTTATCAGTCTTTTCATCTAACTCCAAGCAGGAAAGCAAATCAAATCATTTCTCAAGATATTGAAAAAAATAATTAAATGTCAAATCAAGTTTTATCAAATCAAGTTTTATTTGTAGAGCACATTAAAAAACGATTTTGGTCGAGCCAAAGTGCTGTACATGTAATTTAAACACATAAAAACACATTACATCACAATAAATCACAACAGATAAAAAGAACACCACGTAACCCCACTCTAACTAGAAGGCCAGAGAGAAGTAGTGTGTCTTCAGTGTGGATTTAAAAGCCCCTAGGGTTTGGGCCGACCTCACATGGAGGGGAAGAGTGTTCCAGAGCCTGGGGCCAGCTGCTGCGAAGGCTCGGTGCCCTCGGGTTTTGAGCCTGGTCTTAGGCACTACCAGCAGCAGCTGGTCAGCAGATCTTAAAGCTCTGGCTGGGGTGTAGCGCTGGAGGAGTTCAGCTATATAGGCCGGAGCCAATGTTTCAATGTTTAGATATACCGAATACAATTCCTTGATTTTTGTTCTTGGACATTTCCAGGGGTGCAGCAGCTCAACAGCCTCAGAATATCTTAGAGTTTGATGACGTAGAAACTCCTGATGGCCAGTGCACGGCTCTGTACACTTTTCAAGGTAAGTTGTCATATTCATCCACTTCACTCGCTCATAAATGTATTTCATCTCAGGCTTTTAAACATGTCTTCATTGTGTGTGTGCAGACAACAGCGAAGGCAACATTTCCCTTACCGAGGATGAGCTGAGGAGTACAATGGAGGAGGAGATAGTATACGGATGGAAGCGAGTACAGTGTAAAAAAAATCGTAAAAAAACGGTCAAATGACTGGCAGCAGCAGCTGCCAAACACAAACCATAGAATTAAAGTCAAATACTTTAACTGAAATAAAGTGCAAAATTAATTAATAAACAGGAATTGTCCTTAAAGATTTTACAGGAAAACACTGTAATGTTACAGATGTTTCCTCTCTTTTCAAAATCCATTGTCTTAAAATGTTACATTCAAATACCTTAAATAAACTTCTGATGAGAAAAACTGTTTTTTACTTTTTTTTTTTTTTAGATTTGTATGATCAAACACTAAAATAAATACAGAACCTAAAGCTTTTTTCTAACATTTTCCAATCAAACACATTCAACAAAATGACAGCACAAAATGTTCTGTAGGAAACAATTACTCTGAAAACTTCAAATAAACAAATATGTGTAGAATTATAGTACACCTAATCAATACAGCATTTCATATTTAAACATCATACTTATAAACAGTAGAAACAAAAAGTTTATTTTTTTAAGATGACTTTCATTCTCAACTGAAAATAACTGAAATTACAAAATGGCAACATATGTTCACATTCACACACACACACACACACACACACACACACGTTTCGAAGGGGGGAACATAGTCTAACAAGAGTTAGCTTTTGTTAATGTTACCTCGAGCCAAACTTGTGAGACTTGTTTCTGAAATCCTTTTCTCTTAAAGTGAATACATAAAAAAAAAAAAACTAAAACTAACCACTGGATTGCTTGTCTAACATGTCCTAGTCCATAAAAGTGGTGAGGGTGAGAACAATCAAACGCACCCTCCCAGGCACTGCGTATTAGCGAAGTACAACTGGGATTTCGAAGAGGAAGATATGCTTGGTCAATTCTTAATAAAAAAGCAAAAGTAACAAATTGAGCACTTGAGTTTTCATTAGCAGCGCCTAGCTACAGCTGCGGAGCTTCGGTCAATACCGCTAACAGTCTATTACCTCAGTTGTTTGGGTACTTTTGTATATTAATTTTTAATCTTTATAATCATTTGTATTTTCCAAATTCTATGGTATACGAAGTATAAACAGGAGGGATACTGTATGTTGGAGAAAATACAATTATGAGTTGTTTTAATGCACTGATACTGTGTGACTCTGCACTGTGTGATAGGAGGAGGCAGGGCATTTCAGGTTGTTGATTTTTATGAGAGGACACATACTTGTTGTCTCCTAAGTACCTGATGCAAAGAGCAACAGTACGTGCCTCTTTCCAGAACACGTTGCAGATGTCCCCGTCACCTGCTGATGATATTAGCGCCTCCTCGATTTACGACTTTGTTGTTATCTCCGTGTTTTGGACTATATAAGCCTGATGTTTTTTCCTGCTCCGTTGAGCAACATACCCCATGTGTGTGAGTTAAACCATATCCTTTGTATGTGATTTAACTCTGCTCCTTCTTGCAAAAATAAATTAGTACCTGATTATTGATTCTCAGTACATATCGCTGAATCTATATTTTCACCTTCAGTTGATGAAATCTGCATAATGTCCCTGTACAATAACGGCCCGTCCACACAGCGGCGTGCGTTGAAGCTTCCAACGCTTCTGCCCATTCACTTTGAATGGGGTGACGTCACTTTTAGCCGAACTGCATTTTGGGAAGCGACGTGGAGCGTTGCTGGCGTAGCTGGCGTCAAAAGTTGAGCAATGTTCAACTTTTGACGCCTCGACGGAGGCGTCAGCCAATGAAATCCCGTTTATGCAAATCTGCCAGTACAAGCGCTAGCCAATCAAACCGCGTATATGCTGGGAGAGACTACGCAGGTCATTTCCTCATATTCAAAAAAATGGAGGAAAAATTCATTATAGCGGTAGTGAATCACCCGGTGCTGTATGATCAGTCTCTGTTGATCTACCGGGATACAAACCGGAGGAGCGAGGAGGTGGCAGAGACAGTGGGTGAAACTGGTAGGTTTTCGCCTGTTTGGGGATTTTATATCCAGTTTACGTCGTTTTAACATTGCTATTGCTTTGTATGTCGGGGGCAGGAGATTCATGTGATTGGTTGTTGGTCGCGTTGCTCGCAAAAAATCCCCAAGCTTCAGATACGCCCACCTCCAAGCGTCAACGCACGCTGCTGTGTGGACGCTCCGTAAGATTCGAGCATTTTGTAATCCAGTGAGGAAATTCAAGACCAGTAAATATTGATTGATTAAACAACACCAAATAAAATGTTCAGTGTGAGAAAAAGTTTTTAGAGAGTACTTGTCCATGGACAAGTGAGTTTGGCAATGTACTTGTCCGAATACATTTTTCACTTGTCCAGAATGGACAAAAATTGGGGCCATTGGGGATCTTCTTCGTCATCGTATTTTACATTTTCCCACGGTTTTTACGACACCGCTAACGTAAGTGAGCGGTAAGATTTTACTGCATCACACATAGGGTTGGGTATCGTTTGGATTTGAACGATTCCGGTTTTGCTTTTCGATTCCGGTTATTTTCGGTTCTCGATTCCGGTTCTTTGAGAGGGTAAAAATAAGTCAAATTGGGAGAAAAATATATTTATGAAAACATTAAGTCAAATCTGTATTCCTATTTACAAATCACTTCATACTGTTGCATTTATTACAGTTATTGAATACAATTATATAAAAATAATCTATGCATTGTTTAGTTTGTTCTAAGTGGTGCAGTTTGAGAATGTACAATTGGCCCAGTCTCCTCTGATGTTACACTGCAACCTGCCTGTGAGACAGAGTCCAACCACAGATGTCCAACACATAGACCTAATAATAATAATAATACTACATTAGATGTATAGGCCTAGCGCTTTTCTACAACTCAAAGACGCTTGCACGCTTACACATGTCCTGCAATACACATGCTGCAGCTGCCCAGCTACTCACTGTTTGTAAAAGTAAATAAATAGTATTTTCATTTCAATAATGTAGCTACTTTCTATACCCTGCTTCATAAACAACATACTGACATCCCTGTGCTCCTCCGAGTCTGGGGGTCCGGGGATGTGAGGACAGCGCGAGGACACAGACAGGGAGGCTGCTTCACTTCATAAAGGAAATGGCGGTCAATATTAACAACACAGGAGCTAAAAGTTTAACGCTTAATAACCTTCATTACGTGTGAGAGAAAGAACATAAGAAAGTTTGACAAAGATGAGGCTGTTAAACGGGAAGCGGATCCGCTGTGTGTAGAAAGAGAGAGAGAGACGCTGAGCTGCACGTGCAGCGATCAGCTGATACGGAGCATATGAGAGAGCTGCAGTCCGCGGGGCTCGGCCTCGCCTCCTGTCCTCACAACTCTTATTAATCCTGGTACCGGACAATTGTTATTTGTTCCTACTCGGAACCGAGTTTTGCTTCCCAACCCGGCCACTGTGCTACACTTCCCGCCCCGCCCTGCCCCCGTCTAACTGTACAGAAAGCTGCGAGATGCATTTCCTTAGGAATCGACAAGCAGAACTGAAACTAACATTTCTAAACGAACAAGGGCGGACACGTACCATTTGCGAATGAGTTCTGCCTTTTGTAAACTGAATGTATCAATAATTTGTCAATAAACGTCACTTGTCCGCCGGACAAGTCAATTGACAGATCTACTTGTCCGATATTGTAAAGAACACGTCCCGGACGGTGGGACGTGTACTTTTTCGCACACTGAATGTTAGTGTTTTCTTCAAACTCAGACTCTCTGCTGCGGCTGTACCTTAAAAAGACAAAACAATTGTCTGATGATCTTTGTTGAACAAGGTCTGATTGTCCTGTACTTGTACAATGTGGGGTATTTTTAAATACTTTACTAAACCACATTCAATATTATGTTAGACACAAGTTAGTTATTACTCACATATCAAAGTCTTTTCATCTGCATGATGGAAGAAAAATAGCTGGATGCTGCCTGGAGAGACTGATGAGAGGGACACCGGCTGGCGTCAGTAGCTTTCCACACAAAGCCATCACATCTTCTCTTCCATAGTCTTCACTGTCCACTGGTGCTCTGTCAAAAAAGAGTGAACATCACAGTTGTCATGGTAACCCTTTGTTACACATCATACAACCAACATGCTTCAAAAGTGACCCGAATTAGTTTTAATTGTAAATATTTGCAATAAATTACTAATCATTCAGGATTCCAGGTATTCCTCAATTAACCTGTTTTTGATCAACGCCATTTCAAATTTAAATTATTCCTTTCTTACTTTTTGAATAAAAATCATGTTTGTATCACTGCACTTCTAAGGGACAACATGGGTCAAACATTACCCGTATTCTTTTCCTATGTTATTTCATGCATGGCTGAGTGTTTCTTTACTATACATTTTCAAATCTATTTATTTAGTCATTAATATTCAGAGTATTAATTAAATACCTTGTTTTTGATTACCACAAATCATTATTTGCATTCTCTCGTTCTTAATTGATGAACTAAAATAGTTTATGACAAGTGTGATAAAAATGCAAAAAAAAACATACTATAATAATAATTTTGTCAAAAATAATAATTTTAGCAGTGATTTGGACCAAGCATGTATGATGTAGTAATACAAAAACTATTTTAGTTCATACACTGTGACATTAGCTAGTCATGTTAGCTTGTAATAGAGCAGAGCTAGCTAGCCCGCGTGCCTTAGCACCGCTGCTATGACTCCATCCTAGGGGAAACACTGATGTTTATGAGTAATTCTCCCGTATTGGAGATGCGAAGGTGGGGGGCAGCACTGCAATAATCTGTAAACTAACGTTAGCAGCCACCTTGTTAACCTGCTAAACCCGGTTTTCCGCATCAGTGGGGGCAGACGCAACATCTTGCAAGAAACAGCATCTCAGGGCTTCTTAACATTTAACAACATATTAATGACGTAAACCAACTGACGATATCAACCATTTTTACCTAAACGAAACACAAGTCTACACCAAGCTCTAAATCAGCACTTAGCGAAAACGGGCTAATGGAGCTAACGCTACTTTAGCACATGACTGGCAAAAGCGATCTTTTCTACTTCATGCTATCTACACAAACGACATGAAAGCTGAGTCTCATCACTGTACGACCAAAACTCACTGAACTAGAAGATGAAACGTAACCTTAAATAAAAAATAAAACATTCACAAACTAAGGATTATCTAAATACATGTTTAACTCCATTACAGTTGTCGGACCTATGTGTAGGACTCACCAGATCTCAAGTCTTCTGTTCTCTGCTGACGTCCCGATGCTCATATTTAATGTGTCGATGTAAAACGATCCTGATAT